GGTTGACAAACAAGTATTCAAATCTCAATACGCTTGTGGTACCAATATTCCATCCTGCGGCAATTTAATAAATCAAAAGCGCTGACTGAAAAGGGAATCGTTTACTGAAAATTGCTTAAATAGATTTCATTTTTCAAGTCCTGAGGCCTTTTATCATATAATTTCTTACATCGACGTATTCGAAGTACCGCAATATTCAAACAATATCCCTTTCTACAATACCGCTATGTTTCTATCTTATAAAATTAATGTTGCAGTGACTCACATTCATGAAATTTAAATTGTACAATTTATTTCTGCGAAGTATGGAAATTTGGGAAAATTAAATTTTTTGGAACTTTAATTGGCATTGGTGTAAATTTTGGATTTGTGTTGCTATACGCAAACCAACCACCATTTTTCATACAAAACTCATGATTATGGAATTATATATGTTCATCCTATTTCCTACTACCTCCTTCATTAAATCATTAAGAACACAATTTTAAAATATTGATCAAATAATTTATTACTCAGTCGCATATATTAATAATTTTCAATGCAATAAAATACAGATTTGTGTGATGGAGAGCAAAAATCGGAATGCAGAGAAAATTATTTGCGTCCGTGATAAGGTCCGATCATCGTGGACCTCCTTCTGCATTCACATTCGCAAGGGGTCTGCGATAAAAAACGTGATATAAAACCAATCAATTGAATTTTTCAGTCATACATTCTTTCAGCAAATATTGATGGATTTCAGTTCTTACACAATAATAAAACACAAGAATAATCGTAAATGAACTTGAAACCGTTTCCGAATGTGAATAAATATAAATGTCATAAAAAAAAAACACACAAACCTTTACTGTGACGTTTCCTTTGAACAGTTTTCCCCCTTGTTCGTAAATTGTCATAATTTCACCAAAGCACCAGATAGTCTGACATTGGCAAGAGTCATCATCTAAATCTTGGGATCTATGCGGGGTTGGATACAAGGCATTATCTCTTCCATCGTTACTTTTGTCAGCGCCGCACGCTTTCTTTGACTGTCTGTAAAAAAACGCCAATTTTCAATCACCCACAGGAAGAAAAACAAAAGAACAATTGTTGCACCACTTTTCTATACAATTTGGACTTACTTGCACTCAACGCCGTAGTGTTCGAATGGTTTGAACAATTTGACTTGTGAAATACATTTTGTTGAACCGTAGTAAGATATGTGAGTACATGTCCGATCTCCACAAGTTGAGTATTTTCCATTACCACGTGCCAAACAAATTTTGTCTGGGCCGGTAGTATATCTGAATAATTATTAGCAAATCGGAATATTAACAACATTAATTAAAGAATACATACTAAAAGCATTGTTCCTGGATTAGACGGACGCAGCTTGTCGAGAGACCGCAATTCGCATTATATTTAAGCCGCGGTAGCAGCTCCCCCCCGGAATAAATATACAAAAATGATATATATCAAATGATTTCTGAAAGTTTGGGCATGTATAAAGTAGGCCAATTTTCAAGTAATATGATCAAATGCTTCCAGATTGCGTCATAAACATTCAAATAAATCAACTTTTGGGTTAATTCATAATTTCTATATTATACGTCATATACCTTATTCGAGCACATTTCGGGTATATTTCGGACACATATCCTTTTTGTTTTGGAAATTCAAACTTTTTTGCCTCACTCAGGGATATCTGTAATACAATATAAAATATAATTTCAAGTAATGAATTCGAAATAACAATAAATAAATGGTATAATCTAACAAACTTCTTTGTCATATCTTGCAAAGAATTCCGAATGCACGAATTCGTCTTTCGGCAAATATTCTGCAGTTATCCCAGAAATGAACATCAAACATATGACAGTGATTTTATTCATGTTTGTACTTGATATCAGATTATCAGATCTTAAATGGAATTATAAATTAGAAAGGAATGACCCGAACAAATATATATAAATTACTTAATTCTTTGTTTGTTCGTTACTTAAAATAGAAATGAAATTCACATTCACTCCATTTCGCTTAATTTAGTACTTTAATATTTAGTAATTTAGTATTTTAATTAATACTCTCCCAGACTACAAGCTATCTATCGGTATACCGCACGACACTGCAATGCGAACGAAAATGAGAGATCAAAAAGACATCACGTATTAAAATATCCCTTGTGGATTTTCATCTTGAACTAATTTTAAAAAAGCACTAAAACATAGCCTCAAGAGCATATACAATTTATAACAAACATTTATTGAAACTGACATAAAACAAATACTATATTTGCTTCAACGTGGTCTTTTCTCTGTCCAAATATCAGTTAATAGTTGTGTGAGCTGGAATGTATTTGGAAACATCATGGCATTCAGAATGATTGGACTGTAAATAAGTTACCGAAAAGTTAATAGGCTGAATTATACCCTAATAGACAGAGAAGTATCCAGCAATTTTTCCGAACAATTTTTTTTACTTAACACCCAGGTGATTCGAACCTGCGAAATATGGCAATTAGAGGTATTACATTGCAAGAGATACAACAGCAAATAAAATCCGACAGGAAAAATCTCGTAAGTGTTGATTGATAAACAAGTATTCACATCGCGATAAGCTTGTGGTACTAATGTTACAGTATGCGGTGGTTCAACAAATCAAAATAGCTGACAGAGAAGGAATCGTTTATTAAAATTTGCTCGAACAGGGATTATTGCAATTATCATAAAGTCCTGAGGCATTTTATCATATAATTACGTAAATTGACATATTCTGATTACCACAATATCTAAACAATATTCCCTCCTCCTGAAGACCGTATGTTTATTTTATACAAATAAATGTTGCAATGCGTTGAAGGTATAGCGCATTTTGGCAAAGTGAATAAGCGGATAACCGGAATATTGGTCGGAGACCGGAGACTTCTCGATCGAAAGTTAGGAGATCCCCCAAAACAGAAACTGCGGTTTAGATTCATCCGCTCTCACTCCATAGCGACACCGTGTGTCCCATCAACAATTAAATAATAACTCGCTAATTATACGACATAATTCATCTAAATAAGCTTCTGGTCGGTGATATGATGAATGCACATGCAAAATTTGGAGCAGATTCAACCTCGCTTTCGTGAAATATCGCGTGAATCTAACAGACAAACAAGCAGACAGACAAATATCTATCAACATACTTATCGAGATCGATAAGTAATAATAACGAGAATATTGGTCAGAGACCGAAGACTTATCGATCGAAAGTTGAGGGTTCCCCAAAACACAGTTCTTACTCCATAGTGACACCTTGTGTCCCATCACTAATTAAATATTAACTCGCTAATTATACGACATAATTCATTCAAAATCAATAGGCTTCTGATCCGAGATATGATGAATGCATATGCAAAATTTGGAGCGGATTCATTCTTGCTTTCGTGAGATATCGCGTTTGTAAGACAGACAAACAAACAAACGAACAAACAAACAAACAGACAAATACCTATCAACATACTTACCGATCTTGGGATAGATAAGTAATAACGAGAATATCGGTCGGAGACCGAATATTTATCGATCGAAACTGCGGTTCCGATTCATGACTCTATAGTGACACCGCGTGTCCTATCACTAATTAATTAATAACTCGCTAATTATACATAATTTATCCAAAATCAATAGGTAAATCTTTTGGTCCGAGATATGATGAATGCACATGCAAAATTTGGAGCAGATTCAACCTCGCCTTCGTGAAATATCGCGTTCATCTAACAGACAAACAAACAGACAGAAAAATATCTATCAACATACTTACCGATCTTAAGATCGATACCGATCTTAAAATCGATAAGTAACGAGAATATCGGTCAGATACCGAAGACTTATCAATCGAAAGTTAGGGGATCCCCCAAAACAGCGCTTTTACTCCATAGTGACACCTTTTGTCCCATCACTAATTAATTAATATCTCGCTAATTATACGACATAATTTGCCCAAAATCAATAGGCTTAATATGCATGCACATGGAGATAATATGAATGCACATGCAAAATCAGGAGCAGATTCAATATCGCTTTCGTGAGATATCGCGTGCATCTAACAGACAAACAAACAGACATACAGACAGACAAAAACATATCAACATACTTACCGATTAAAATCGATTAAGTAATAATCGAGTGATAAAGAAAAATGGAACAATGAAATATCCACTTTTGTAGAGTAATTGGCTTGTGATAATCGTTGCAGTGAAACAAATTTTTAAAATTTAAATTGTATAATTTGTTTTGGCGAAATTTGAAAATTTGGGAAAAATTAAATTTTAACTCTATGGTTTCAATCCGACTTGGGCTAAACTTGCGGTCTCTATTGCTATACGCAAACCAATCACCATTTTTCATACAAAATTTATGCTTATGGATTTATATATATTCATCCAAATAAAAAAACGGCGATCTGGTAGTATGTGTATCAAAATGGCGAACAACCTGAAACCCAGACTGGCACAAATACACCGTTCTGGTTGTGCGCCATCTTGGTGCACATATTTCGGAAGCACCAAAAAATCCAAGGTCTCCAAAATATGAAAAAAACAAAAGTTACTTCGAATTCGTCTCACAATTAGGAAGACTGTCAAAACTTCTTAACAGTTCTTTCACTAAATCCTTTGAAAGACAGATTAAAATGATGAGCAATATTTCGATCAGTAATTTCAACGTTTGGGCTAAAGTGAATTGAATGTGAGAAGTTTTAGGTAGGTTTTTTTTAGTTTTTTTTTTTATTACGATGAGCATACATTTATATGCACAAATTTTGTGTGTATAATGGTAATGTGAATACTAGTTTGTTACCATAGAAAATTATTGAGACTGAGGTGACTTCAGACCACTTTAACTTTTTAAAGGGCTTCTGCTCTCTAAACCACTGCTCGGAGAAATACGAGTTGAATTATTACAACTAGGTCTAAACAATATGTCTGTACTTACTTTTGTGTTGGTGTTGATTTTAGTCTCATTTTATTGGACAAGATATGATGTTCATATGGATCGTATTGCCGATAGTTTCATAATCGACATTTAAGAACAAACAACGCTTAATAATTGAAACATTAAATTATGTTCAAACTTTTATTCTGAATAGAAATTAACAATAATGAACCAAGGCCGAAAGCCACATTATATCGAGATATTTTACACACATCGCATTAAATCCTATATTTTTTACACGAAGAAAATGAAACCGTGCACACAGGTCAGACAACACATGTTGAATATCAGACGGAAGCGGGCGGGGTTATATGCTGATCGAGAAATTCGAGAATAGCATTTCTGACGCCGATGTAGATTTCGAATAAATTATATAGTTCTATAGAGCATGATAAAATATACTAGATATTGGAACATGATGCAAAAAGGAATATAGATAGGTTCGAATTCCAGTTAATGATTGTTTACGCGAGTGTATTGAACTGAAGCACATCGGAACAGTGTGACATGAAAAGTGGTTGATTGATTCCATTCTTGTATAAAGCTCTCCAGATACGAAGAACATCTTCTGCATTAGGAACTGGACTTCTAGTGTGGGGTCGCAAGTACCACCGACCTGAAATAATAAATAGATATTTCTTACAACACAGGGTCTCTGCTTCATTCAAACAGACACGATAAATTTAATTTATCCACAAAGTAACTAATTGCGCGGAATTCAGGATAATCTTTATTTAAAGCACTTATTCCACTAGATAGATAATTATTAATTTAGGTATTTTTAACGTAAATATTTTGAATACATAAATGTTAGTACAATAATATCAGACCTTCCTTAGAACATCGAACGACAATAAAGTAATTCTCATAATCAGTCAATTGAAATTCCAAATCGCCGAACATCACATCGGTATCTGAAGGTAAAGTTGGCATTAAATTTAGAAAATATTCACTTACATAAATTTTTCATATTGCGTTTTATTCATACGATTATCATTTTATTTGAACATATTTTCTGGCACTTTGACCTGTTTAATCGTATATATTTGGTTGAAATTAAGTTTAAAACAAATTTCTTTTGTAAGGTTACTAAACCTATTAATTTCCATGAGTTCATTTGTAGTGCTTACAATGAGCCAGCAATAAGTTTCATCTTACACGACAAATCGTCTCTTCAGAAACAAACACACTTACTTTCCAGAACAGCATTTTCATTTATTTCACCGTTTTCTTCCACGATATCATACAGCATCGCTGGTTCTAAAAAATAATTCATATAATCTTAGTTTTCTTACGGCGTACAATATAAAACCTTCATATAGTGTATCTGTATATCAAGAAACGCAGAGAGTGACGAAAAAGGTCCGTTCCCATACTTTTCCTTTGCGTTTTCATAGTTTCGCTTATGTGACACTTAATGTTGACTCGTATTTATAGTTTTCTAATATATTATATGTAAACTTAAACTTGATAAATAAAATAAACCTATGCTCTTATCAAGCATGTAAAATCCTCCCTTTACTTTATTTGCGTGAAGTCGTACCACATCGGGATTTTCCAACGATCTGTAGAAAAAAAAGCCAATTTTAAAGAATAATGCTTTCAGATTGGTTCTCGCAACAAAGACTGTTTTCTAAATGCGTTGCTTAAGGAAAAATGAAAATTTCAAAATTTTCCGTTACTTTATTTCATTTTTATTAAAAGAATTTTTTTCACTTCATTCAGCACTTACAATTTTCAGAGGTAATTTTGAAGTGAGTATTTAATTTCAAGCCAGAAATAAAGGTTGATACTTCATACCTAAACAAATACTTTTCAAGAATTAATTTGAATCCATTTTTCACGGGCGTTATGTCATATATTTTTGTACAGGCAACATCTCTGGATACAGCATCCCCATCGTTCAAAGTTTGGTAGAAAGTTTTCCCTTCAAGCTGAAAATTGTGTGCAAAAGATAAAATGTAGAAACGTTGCAATATATTTTACCGAGACAGAATACATTGTAATCTTTCACAAAAAACGTAGTGTATAAATACCCAAAAAAATTTCTGACCTGTTTCCATTGTATATCATTTGGTCTTAGTGGATATTGACATCTTCTGCTTTGAGCTAAATTCATCCGAAGGAGAGTTTGAATAATTATTAGAAGGATTTGAACATAAATGTAACTTTTCATTTTGTTTAATTGCTGTAAATTCCTATTCTAAATAGAAACTAACGATAATGAATTAAAGACGAATGCTACTTATATTTTGCTGTCCACACACAACATTCACTTTTGTATATCTGACCAGAGATTTAGTAACGCCACTGTGTTGCCAATGCATTTATTTTATTTTTGCGGGAAATTCTGTATCTGTCCTACATTTTTTGATGAGTAAATTAAAACCTTGCGCACAAGTCAGACAGCTCGAAGTAAATTTCGACGGTAGACGAGCGGTGTTATATGCTCGGAAAAGACTAAAACGATCACGAACATTCAACATGCCATTTATGGCATTGATGCATTTTTAAGCGTTTATTTACCTTGTAATATTGCACGACTATATTGATCAATATGATATACACAGGAAAGAATGCACGTTTTTATTGCCACGTTGCTTGGAAATGGAAACACCGCTATACAAGGAGCCTATTTCATAAAATCAGATATAGCTGTGTTGACAAAAAAAATTTCATTCAAATCAAATAAGATAGAATCACATAATATAGAATAGCTTCGAGGAGAATTGAAGTATACTTCAATATTTTTCTTCGCTTTTTTCAGTTTTTTGTTTGACTGAAAACATGATAAATCTTGCAAATCAAGTAACGAGATCCATGGCTATTCTAGTTCTTCGCTTATTAAAAAAATGTGAATTAAATCTTGAAATTTGAATCTTTTGTCGTAACTGCAGAAGTTTTAAATTAAAATACTTGATTAAAATATTGCAAAATGCAACAACACCCAAAAAAGTGTTTATACCTTTGTTTTTTTTATCTTAATTAACTTTAGCAATCTTATTTTATTATTAGTTATTTTGAGCAATTGTGGACGATGTTAGCCTAGGTTGTATGCTGGGTTTTTATCCAGTGGCATCCATTATTAATTATGAGCGTTTATTTAACACAGCTGGTGTTATAAAATTTGATGCACAGTAAAATTTGATATTTTATTAAAGCATTTCACACATTATGCATTTCTGCGGCACGACATAGACAGAATATAAATTGAATGAACATCAAACCAAAACAAAAGGTCCACAGCAAATGAACTTTTACACACATATTTATCTTGATTGTGAAAAAAAGTTAACGTTCATTCAGATATTTCCCTTTTTGTTAAATTTCAGCTCGAAGGCAAAACGTTTTATCAATCTATGAATGATGGAGATGCAATATCTGCCGATGTAGCTTTTGTGAAACTACTTAATTTTACCAAAGTAAATGATGGTGTCGAAGCAACGTTGGAAAAGTATCTATCCAGGTACATACGTTTCAAATCAATATAGATGCCAAGTCACAATTGATTGCAAAACGTAATGAATTTACCGAAGTTAAATAAGGCGAAACTTTATCAGTATTTCTAGTTAATAATATATTAACAGATCACCTGAAAATCCCGATATGGTACGACTTCACGCACAGAAGGTTAGACCTGGTTTTTAAATGTTTAACAAGAGCACGAGTTTGTTTTTCTTATCGTCTTTACCAGAATTTTCTAAACTGAAGTCCGCTATAACCCAGTTGTTATCAACAAGGATTCCGGCACCCTAGCACAGTGCAGGGTTTCCGCAAGTTTTCTTTCAAAACTGAGAGTCCCTATTATTATATATACATTGTTTAAATACACACACCTATTAGGTTTACCACTATTATTGAAGTCGCTACCTTTTCGCCGTTGCCGAGGTTTAAAAATGAACGTGGCGAATATCGTGTGCCTTGACTGATGAACGATCCCATAAAAACTTCTGCAGTATACGAAAGTAATCGTCTCGCTCCAAGGGTAGAGTGATAAATGCAACGGCAATTTGCAACGGCAGCAGTTCGGGGTTGACATATCCAGCCATTTCGTGTGCATACGGCACACAGTTTGATTGATTGGCTTTCGAAACCATACAGTCACTGTAAATTGAAATAGTTAATTAATTTTGGGCGTAGCTTTTGATCAATTCCAAAATTACCGACGGGCATGACGCGACATGATATGTAAGTGTAAAGTAGTTTCAATTAATTTCTTATTGTACTAGAACAAATTTTACCCCGTGGAATTTTATCGCAGGCGAAGAGATTTTTCTAACGGTAATTTCTTCAAAAGAGAACGCGAAACAGGATATAATCGGATACTTTACCACACATTTTTATGTTTGCAGATTGCCGTAATATTTCTGAGTAATATTGCTTTTATTTTGTCGAAGCAACCGCAGGGTAAATCGAACACGATTAAATTAAAGAGGCAACACATTTTAAATATGTCCATATGGATTGATTACCTAGCGCAAAATAAATCATTATCAATCAAAAAGTCAGCTTTTAAAATGAGTGGCGTTATTGCATTGACTGTTTTATAAGAAAATTCGCGGGATTTCGAGGCGATCAAGATTTTTCGAACCTGACGGCGATGACGGATTCTCAAGATCGCAGTTTTTCTCACTTTTCCATGTTCGTAGATTGCTGTGGTATTTTAGAGTATCAATAATTTTATGTTGCTGTAAGCCGACGCAACCGGGAGTTACGTTGAACACAATTAAATAAATATAAGAAGACATATTTTAAGTTCGAATAGAAAACGCATCAAATGTGTGTAAAGTAGTGCGTAAAAGTGCGAGACAAGCATTAACTAGCACGTAATCGTGACAACTGTTTCAAAAGCCGTAGCCTCGGAAATTCTGAATCTCATCTCTTTGAGAATTCTGGCTGCCCCTGCATTCTTACGACTAAAAATTGGGCAGCCTTCAGATCTGAATTGTATACATTAAATACCTCTTAAATAAATGATGAAACAATTACTTCGGGTACAATTACATACTTGAAAACAGATCTTTCTTCTTATATCATGGTCGCCGTTTTCACAAAAATAATCTGATTACAATCCAATAATAATGTCAATTTTCATATATTCAATAAAGACTCAGCAATGATGCGTGATATAGTGAAAATAGATAGCTCAATAAACGAAAAAGCTGTGCGGGAAATAAGTTGGCGATAATTTACATTTGCTCTAATCTAATGAATACCATTGGCGTTTGCTAGTATATGCGTAGGATGGTTGAGCCGACGCAAACTGTGACTAGAGGGAGGCATGGCATTGAATACCTGCAGAATCGAATCTCGAATACTTGAGATGATATTTGAATTAATACAACGACGTAATTCTACGTAACTTTTTCGTTTGGACCCTTCAGTCACGTTATAACGGCTACAGTACAGCATAAAATACGATTAGTGACATGTGTGTCCTTACTGATTAAAACATGTGTTTGTACAAGCACTCCATTTTTGTTGACGTGCTTCTATCCCCAGTACAAAACATTTTTTCGAAAGAAATTTATTGTTAAATGTTGTATAATTCAGTATGAAAAAAGTTGGTGAAATAACAGTCAAAGGTGAGGTGAAAAAAGACTTAATTCAGAATTGCAGTTTAAAAATACAAACGTTTCAAGTCTGGTGATGTGTCGCATTAGCCACAGAGAGAATTAAAAAAAAAACAAGAATTCGGCAATTCGAAATTTTCGTCTCAACCGAATTGTTTACTATTTAATTCAAAATATCCAGCCCTAGTTGTGTGACCACATATGCTTACTTTTAAGCGTTTTTAAAATGTCTACATGTTTACCATGTTCTGCTATTTACAATTTTCGAATTTAAGATTTGTTTGAACTGTTGACAAGTCTATTTCCAGATATCGACGAGATGTCCACCGATCTGGAATTTGAAGTGACTGATTATAAGAATTACTTCATCGTTGTTAGATGCTTTGAAGAAGGTCAGTTTTGTTTCGTTATTTCACTTCAGAATACATATATATTTGAGAGCGGCAAATCCAGAACTGATTTATCGGTATTTCATGGCACAGGCTTTGAACCATAACAATAAATTTGACTAAATATCTCGGTTCTGAGGGCGGATTATGACTCTTGCTTGCAGAAGAGCGAACTTTTTACATTTCGGATAATTTTGTTATAGCTTCGCGGTATCCGCGAAATGTTGGAACTCTCCTCATTAGGAAAATGAAACAACTTCCTAACTTTTTCAGCATATATATTGCCATTCTGTTTTAGGTCGATGGTACGTGAAAGCTTTCACTAAAATCCCAGTTCCTGCTGCAGAAGATGTTCTTCGTATCTGGAGAGCTTCATACAAAAATGAGATAAATCAACCACTTTTCATGTCACACTGCTCTGATGTGCTTTAGCATAGTGCAGCCGTCCAAACATGATTCTAAAGCAGTGTTCTTCAATCTTTTTTATTGTAGTATACATTTTACAAATTTTCAAGAACTTTGTATATACTTACATAATACCAATGTTTATTTGAGGCTTAAATAACATTCAATTTTAAGCACATATTGTACTGCAATATCATCATGCAATCTAATAGGCTAGTGTCCGCAAGTTATGAATTTGACTGACGGCCTTAGCGTCAACGGGGATAATGTTCAACGTAAATCAAACGCAGTGCATAGCAGCCGAAATCACCAACCAAGACGCGTGCTCACGTCGGTTTTTTGCGTAAATGACATTTTATATTTCATGTGGCCCGCGTTTGCATTGTTGTCTCCGCTTGAATATTTTATGGTCCGCATGGTCCGCACTTGGGTATACCGTATACCCGGTTGAAGAGCACTATTCTAGAGCAATTTGAACCAGACATAAATATATTACTACATATCTAACTATATATATATATGTAGACAGAAATGCATTCTAATATGCGTTGTGTATAGGAAAATACAATATAGAACCATATGAATTACTTTGTATTCGAAATATACATTTGTCACAAAATTAGCAGAAGTTATAAGATAAGAGATATCTGTTATATCTACACCCTTGTCGGCATACAAAAATTTATCTATTGGACTTGGTTGACTTTTAGTCAAATAAAATGCAGGTCAATGTTGGTACAAATAAATTATACGGGTTACTCCGAAGTCCACAAAATATCATGGATCGATATTTATTACATGTGTTTATGTGGTTCCTGTTTACTGTTGTTAACCCTAATGTAATTTGATTTGCAATAAAATGTGATCTGAATCAGTGATTCCCAAAGTGGGCGATATCGCCACCGGTGGGCGAAAACGAAACAGAAAGGGGCGAAAAGTCGAAGGGGGCGATAGGGGGATTCCGCTAAACCTGTTTTTGTTCGACGGCTGGCACATCGTGCACTCGATTATTGTACTCTGCGTGCGTTCGTTCTCAGGTTTGAATCCCGTGAGCGATAATCACACGTGACAGGATTGCTGGACTCCTCCCCGCCGTAAAACAGTTCGCGTAGCCCAGGGGTCGGCAACCTACGACCGCGGGCTAGATCTGAATTTATAGCAATAAAACGGCGGATTTGACGATGAATTAATTTTATAATCTACGTTCGAGGAGTAAATTTTCTTATTTTAGTTCTATTACGAGTTCGAGGACTAGTCAAGTGACTCCTGTAATCTTGGACCTGAAATTATGGCCCAACATCAATCCCGGAAAAAATACAACGTTCCGGTGTCCGCCATCTTGGTTCACATACTTCGGGAGTACCACAGAAGTTATCGTGAGACACGGTTAGACTAAATTATATTAGAACCTAACAATTTAGTGAACAGCATCTCGTTTAGAGAGCCTACAACTTATTTAGAATTAGACAAATGGCAACACGCAGAAAAATTGTTTCTGAGTGCAGGGGGTTCAATAGCGCAGAAAATATTGAAATGGAGCTCCTTGAAATGCAATGCAAGGAGGACATAAAATTCATTTTCCTTTCATGAGATGCATCACTGCTTGATTTTGATAAAAATGTAATTTCCTAAAAAAAATCTCTATCAAAATTTGACAAACCACGCGAAAAAATTTACTCCGATGTATGGAAGTAGGCTACATATGTGTGCGAACAATTATTCTTGAAAATGAACATTACAAAGAACACTATAGTAGAAGTTGCGCGAAACTAACTCCCAATTCTTCCTCAATGCTTATGCGCTAGTAGTGGATCCGTATGCGTATAATCCAAGGAGGCTGTAGCAGGAGTAAAAATACCATACTACGCAAATTCAAAAGTCCTGCTGCACACTAACACAAATGAAGAACCTTTTCTTGTCAATGTTGTGAACTGCTTATCTGAGGAATTCTGATTTTTTTCAGACGAAACTTTACAGAAATACATTCGTGTTAGTGTGCAGCAGAGAACTAAGATCAGTGAAGTCCAAAGCATATATAAATATAATCATAGTTACCTCATAATGAGGTAACTATGATATAATACAAGCAAGGCAACGCTCGGGCAATGGACGCCATTTTGTGCCTATTGTTCACGACCATCTAACACGGTTGCTTATGAGAAGTTCGCACACAAATATTGAAACTTACCTATTCTTTTCACTAATATTTTAGGTAGAAAAATTTGAAGGTTGCGTTTTGAAGGAGAATCTTAGCCGAACATGCTGATATCCTTTCATGTTTGCTAAATTGCATTTATAGTACATTAAATTGTCTTTGAAGACAAGTATACGGGTTGTGAATTGCTTCAGAAGTAAGTTGGCCATTTTAATCGTCATAAGTGACCATTTGACAATAGCGTTCCGTATGACGTCACAGAAAAAAGTTTACCGGCTGACTCAACTTCGCTTCAATAGCCGTTTCTATTTTCTGTTTAACATTTTTCGTCTGTCAAGCTCCATAATGCCCTACTGCTCAGCTCCAAGCTGTGCTAGAGGAACAAATGACATTGTAGGATTGTTGTGGAGACATTTGACAGCGTCAACTGGTGTATCATTATAAAATCTTCGCAAAAGTGACCAAAAATGGTTCCACGTTGTGTGTGTGGTCAAATTTAACGCATTAGATTTTTTTTTTTATTCTTAACTGCATTATATATTTAGGTAGCATGTAGCTTAAAATTTGAAATCCACCATTCGGCTTCATCCTAGCCCTTATAACAGCTGACATATTTGATTCAGTACAACAACACGACGAAAATGTCCTAAAAGAATCCATTGTGCTGCGTTTCCCAAATATGGCACAAGATGGCGCCAATGAACTTGTTTAACATTAGGCAAATTGGTTGCCGGCCGTTGGTGAAGCCCAGTTAGACATTGTTCCAATCTTGGCTTCATTCAGTGTGGCGCCAATGTCGAAAAGCTATCAAGCGTGATACAGCAACAAAAAGTATCACATTAAATGTCATTTGTAACTTGTTTCTTTTAATAAGACGACTGAGTTGAGTTCACGAATCGTACCAGTCTTCGCGCGCTGTTCCGTTTTAAACTTGTGAAAAATATGTGCGGCCCGCCAAGACTTGCAACTCTTAATTTTGGACCACGAGTGACAAAAGGTTGCCGACCCCTGGCGTAGCCGATGGTCGCTTACGGCTTCCCCCACTATCAATTCCATGAATCAGAAACAAATAAATGGCTGATTAATTCTATGAACTACTAACCGGACCGAGGCCGCGGTACATTAAGAGGAATCGAAGACGAATTTTATCGATCAAAACGACAAAATCGTCTTTTCAATCAGTAAACACCCGGGTGATTTGAGATTGTGCCTGACGAAAATGATAAGAAAAACTGATCATCCTAATTTTTTATGAACAAATACAGAGCAATATACTATGACCACATAGAAGACAAACCCTCGCCACTGTTGGAATACCCAGCTAGAAACGGAGGGAGCTGCCACTAGTCTATACAGCAGTAAACGTGACAACGTGAGACAATGGGAAAAAATTCGTGCACTATTACAATTCCCTACAAACTCTACAAAACGACAGAGCAGTGGTCCAACTTGTACCACTGTAGGGAACCATTACAACCATCGACACCATTGACCAGTGGTGTGATGCAATTTTACGTGGATGCACTGTTACTCAATGACTTCAGACGGACGAGAAAAGCTTGAGATTGCATTAGTTATAGAGCAAGCGCTGATGTCCAGCGACTATAATTTAAGCGATTGACATGTTCACGGTCGTTTAGCAATCTGTAGTGCGGTTGTAAGTTCGATCACTTGTATTCGCGTATAGGGAATATCGACATTACTTGATCTTAGCCAATTGGCGAAAAGCAATATATTACACTAGTAGTTTTCAAATCAGCGTTTCATCGTTGCTATTGAAATGCATTCCTTAATAAGCCTACAAAGAACATTTGAGCGCTCGCAAAATGTGTATACAGGCTCTACACATGAACTAATGAGCGTTTTTGAAACGTCAAACGCGTTTGTCCTGAATGTCACTATCGTCTTGTTTTTCTCATAATTGATCGATCATATTGCATGTCTTTCGTCTACAGTTGTTCATACAGATGTAGATGGTGTTCGCAAGGGTTAAAGAAGTAAGAATTGTGTCAAAAATTAGTTTCGAAATCCATAATTTCGAATACTTCAAAATCATCAGTTATTGCTAAATTGTTTATTTATTTATGTTTGTTCGAATCAAAAAATGGGGTCGACAATGAACTAAGTATATTTGTCAGGACTATTCGATCATTAAAATCATATTTTTTAAATTTGTACGTTGACAGAAAAGGAAGTAAATATAAACAAAAAGATTTATGATCGTATATACGATATAAGGTTTGCATTGAATTATATAATAAATGCAACATGACAGGTCATATTTGTTTTCAATTGCTCATGATTTCTATGCCGTTTCTTACTCCCGTGATTTATGGCCACAGGCAAAATTGCCAGTATCCATCCAGAGGAAACGACATACAATGGAAAAAGGTGAGTATTGCATAATTTTATGCTATGAGGGTAATAAAAGTTAAATTTGAGGATATTTGCGTTTAATAATACTACTACATAAATACGATACACATTTATGCTTTGAAAAATTAAGAGTTTCACACACAATACGTTTCTATGTTACGAACAAGACACGGCATACTTTATTAAAAATATGTATGAATTGAGTAACTTCAGAACAGAATTTTGAAAGCGTAATTTACACATTTGACTTGATTGGAAGAAAAAGTAACGTTCGTTCAGATCTTACATTTTTTTGTAATTTTCAGCTCGAAGGCAAAACGTTCTATGAATCTATGAATGATGGTAATGCAATATCTGCCGATGTAGCTTGTGTGAAAGTACATAACTTTACTAAAGTAGAAGATGGTGTCGAGGCGACGATGGAAAACTATATATTCAGGTACATACGTTTCAAATCTTTATAAATGCCAAATCATAATTGGGCGCGAAAAGTAAGGAATTTAACATTCAGGAGGCAAAAGTTTATTAGTATTGATAATATATTTGCAGATCACCGGACAAGCCCGATATTGTACGACTACACGCACTAAAAGTTGGACGTGGTTTTTACATTGTTGACAAGCGCACAGGTTTGTTTTGCTTATCGTCTACACCAGTTGTTTTCAACCAGGATTTCGGGCCACACTGAGGTTTCCACCCAAATTCAAGAGTCTATATATTATTATATGTACATTGTTTAAATACAATAAAATACCCATCAGGTTTACCACTATTATTAAACTCGTTACACTTTGGGAACCATATCTTTCATTTTATAATATTTTTGCTTAAATTGTTTTCACAGAAATAATCTCATTACAATCTAATAACTTCCATTCCATATATTTTGTAACGACTCAGCACTAATGCGTGATGTAGTGAAAGAAGATAGCTTCATAAACAAAAAAGCTGTGCGCGAATGTAAGTTGGTGAAAATATACACTTTTTCTATTGAATACCATTGGTGTTTACTAGTATATGCGTTAGTTAGTTGAGCCGACGCAAATTGTGACTAGAGCGATACATTTTCGAATACCTGATTTCAGAATCGAATCTCGAAAACTTAGAAAATATTTAAATGTAACTTTTTCTTTGTAATGACCCTTTCAGTCACATTATAACGGCTACAGCACTTATTATACGATTAGTGATGTGTGTGTCCTTACTAACTGGAATATGAGTTTGCACAAGCATTTCATTTTTGTTGACGCGGTTCTATCCACAGTCCAAAACAAGTTTTCGAAAGATCTTTATTGTCGAATGTTGTATAATTCAGTATAGAAAAAGGTGGTGAAATAGCAGTCAAAGGTGAGGTGAAAAGGGTCCTAATTCTGAATTGCAGTTTATTAAAGTTTGGGCAGCAATTCTAAATTTTCAACTGAACCGAATTATTCACTATTCGATTCAAAATGTCAAACCGTAATTGTGACCACATTTGTTTACTTTTGAACGGTTTTGAAATTCTACATTTTTTCTATGTCCTGCTATTTGCAATGAAATGAGTTCATGTAAACAGTGAACTTTTGACCTGTGAAACCCTCTATGAACTTTTAATGTATCCATATATATGTTTCTGTTTCGTCTTTTGGATGGAATCCTGCATGCATGCGTGAAATAATTTTGATGATATCAAAGGGTTAATAAAAATTCAAGATTTTTTTGAACTGTTGACAAGTCTATTTTCAGATATCAAGGAGATGTCCAACGATTTGGAATTTGAAGTGACTGATTATGAGAATTACTTCATCGTTGTTAGATGCTCTGAAGAAGGTCAGTTTTGTTTCATTATTTTACTTCAGAATACATATATAATTAGGAGCGGCAAATCTAGAACTGATTTATCGATATTTCATGGCACATGCCTCGAAACATAACAATGAATATGACTAAATATCTGAAATGACTCTTGCTTGTAGAAGAGCGAACTTTTCAATTGCGATAATATTTTCAATTTGTGCTTCCTAACTTATTTCGTCTCGCGATCGAACATTTCATTTCGTATAATTTTGTTTTGGCTACGCGTTATCCGAGAAATGTTGGGACTCTCCTTGTTAGCAAATGAACCAACTTCGTAACTTTCTCAGCATATACATATTGCAATTCTGTTTTAGGTCGATGGTACGTGAGACCCTTCACTAAAAGCCCAGTTCCTACTGCAGAAGATGTTCTTCGTATCTGGAGAGCTTTATACAAGAATGGGATAGATCAACCACTTTTCATGTCACACTGCTCTGATGTGCTTTAGCATATAGTGCTCCCTTGCTTCTAGAGCAATTTGAACCGGACATAATTATATTACTACATAGCTAACTATAGACAGAAATGTATACAAGTCTGCGTTGCGTATAAGAATATAATATACAGAACCATGGATTACATTTGCTACAAAAATTAGTAGAAGTTATAAAAAGAACATATATATCAGTTATATCTACAGTTTATACCATGTCAGTATATATAAAAGTATTTATTGAACTTAGTAGACTCTTAGTCAAGTAAAATGTAGGACAACGCTGGTAAAAATAGATCATACGGATTACTCGAGGTCCAAAAAATACAAGGATCGATATTCATTACATGTGTTTATGTTATTTGTGTTTTTTGTTGTTTACCTCGATGTAAATTGATTTGCAATGAAATTCGGTCTAAATGAAAAATGTCGTCTTCGGAAATTACGTCGCGTTTATATTCAAGCATATCATAAGAGAAAGGCCAGGCAGTGAATCAATTTATTTGCTTCCTTGATGCTGCTGCATAAAGAGTGTAAGAGTAAAGAATAAAACTAGCCGATATGAGACATAATAAGAAGTTATGGATGAGACATAAAAGAAGTGCATAGAAAATTCGCCGTCCGCGACATGCAACAGACTGTTGCTGTTGGAGTCATCAAGGAAACTACGAAAAAGTCCGAGAATGTGAAAGACACCAAGACAGCAGCTAAGGCCAATAAAAAAACAGGAGCAAAGAAGTGACTGAAAGCATTTGGCGCCCATCAACAGCCTAAACCTAAAAAAAAGTCTATTGAATTCACTATCGTGCTGCTTTTTCATATTCGATCATATTGTCTTTTTTCGGCTACAGGTATTTATACTTCGACGTACACGCTACACTGGTTCAGCTGGTGTTTCGCGAGGGTAAAAGAGGTAAGAGTTGGGACAAGAATTAGTTTCGAAATCCATAATCTAACTATATATATATATATATATATATATGTGTGTAGACAGAAATGTATTCAAATCTGCGTTGTTTATAGGAAAATACAATATCAAACCATATAAATTACTTTGTATTCAAAATCTACCTTTCCTACAAAAATTAGCAGAAGTTATAAAATATGAAATGTCCGTTATATCTACACCGTTGTCGGCATACATATTCTATTGGACGTAGTTGCCTTTTTCGTTAAACTCAAGGTCCACACTAGAAGCCCAGCTCCTACTGCAGAAGATGTTCTTCGTATCTGAAGAGTTTTGTACCAGAATGGAATCGATCAACCACTTTTCATGTCACACTGTTCCGACGTGCTTCAGTTTATTACACACGCGTAAACAAGCATCAACTGCACTGCCATTTTAAGTTCCTCGAACTTATACCAACACTCGCATTCCTCTAAAATTCAACATGTGTTGCCCGATTTGTATGCACCGTTTTATTTCTCCGTGTAAAAGATATGTGATTTAATGCGATGCGTATGAAATATCTCGATATAATGTGGCTTTCGGCCTTGGTTCATTATTGTTAATTTCTATTCAGAATAGAAGTTTGAAAATAATATGGTGTTTTAATTAAGAGTTGTCTGTTTTAAACTGCTGTCGGTTTTAAAAAACTGTCAGTAACGCGATCCATATCGTGTCCAATAAAATAAGAACATAACTAGTGGCCCGCGCAATCATTCGTAAACTAAATGTGGCACTTCGTCTAAAAAAGTTGGACAACCCTGATGTACATCTTGTGATCTACGCGGGTCTGGACGATAGGGTTGGTAACGTTTCATACATATACTGTCGAGAATATGCATATATCGCCAACTCATATACATATACAGCCAACCAAATATACAAATACTACCAAGTCATATGCATATGTAACCACACAATATACAAAAATATACAGCCATTAAGGCGATGTTAAAATACTGCCTGATCATTTCGTAAAAATACATGCGGTTGCATCTACGAATTTTATGTACATTACAGATCGTACATATAATTAGCGCATTGAAAAAGCCTAAAAATCCAAAGGGGCTAGTGATCGATAAGGTATTACCATACAGGGGTAAGGCTTTACATACACAAATATTGATTGCAACAAAAATACATATAAACTACCACAGTGTTATTATTATAATACCCCACAACAGCTAGCTCTTCGTTGATTACACAAGAAATGTGCTGAGTGAAAATCTATCTTCAATGAACTATTCTTTGGCTAATAGCAATATAATCTGTCCACAAACTGATCAAATTACGCTTGGTGGAAAATATAAAAAAATAAAAATGGCAGTGCGCGTAGTTTTTGTGGAATATCTAATAGGCGCCAAATTAGATCTTCAGAAATATCCAATTGGCGCCAAATATATGATGTCATAATACCCCACAACAGCTGATCGGTAATAATACGAGAAATGTGGTGGCTAAAAATCTCTTTTCAGAGAACTATTCTTTAGGTATTGGCAATAAACTGTCTACAAAATAATCAAATTACCGCTTGTTGGGAAATATAAAACTGCCAGTGCGCGTAGTTCTTGAGAAATATCCAATATGCGCCAACTTAGTTCTTCAGAAATATCCAATGGCGCCAAATCTATGATGTCATAATACCCCACGACAGCTGATCGTTAATAATACGAGAAATATGCTGGCTGAAAATCTCTTTTCAGAGAACTATTCTTTGGCTATTGGCAATGAATGGTCCACAAAATAATCAAATTACCGCTTGTTGGGAATATGAAACTGTCAGTGCGCGTAGTTCTTGATTAGTTTTTCAGAAATATCCAATTGGCGCCAAATACCCTACAACAGCTGATAGTCGAAAACACGGGGAATTTGCTGGCTAAAAATCTCTTTAGTCCCATTGCGTTGGTGGGGTGGATTCGAACACACCATGAGACACGATGGGGCATTCTATCAAATTCAACAAAATATGCCGTTAAAAACTAGCAACGAGTCAGTATCAACATTTAAAGGCATGTGTGACTTCAAATTTGGAAAATGAATAACTTTGAAATTAATGTTCAACTAAAATATTTTAGATCTTCTTTCAAAAATATTTTTCACATTGGCAACATACAACTTTTTTGGAGTCATGCGTATCTGAAGAGTCTTTATAGAATTAGCCCACAAATTAAATATTTTTAATTCTTATGATCAAAATTTTCTACATTGGCAACATACAACTATTTTGGAGACAGGCGTATCTGAAGAGTTTTTATAGAATTACGAGATAAATATTTTGGATTCTTATAATTAAATCTGAAATAAATTTATTGTTTCACTTTTGGTTTATGCCTAATTTCAATTGAAACTGAGTTCTGTAACTTCCATTCTAAGTAATAACAGTTTCTTGTTAAATGGTCATAAACATTACATACGGGTTTTGATCAAAAACGGAAGTATATATTTTTTCCATGTACTGTAATGATAAGTGTGTTCAATAAAACAACAAAATCCACATTTATATATTACCAAGTAAAATGTAAAATTTCGGCCAAATACAAATAATTTACTCTTTTAAATACCTTTAAAAAAATTTTTGAATTCAGAATATGTTTTGAATTGGGCCATGGGCCGATATCTTAAACATACCAGTCAGTTGTTTGTCCTGTAGAAAAAGATTGAGATGGCGACATTTTAGTTTCCACTTCCTAAAACCAATTCCACTCATATCTTGCGTCGCTATACGTCCGCTCTCCGTTTGTGGGGACGTCACAATTCACCGAAATGCGGAGTCAAACTTCAAAACCAAAGACTGATTATGGATATAGTATAAGTGCAAGAGATGCTTTTACACCGTTTCCCATGTCCCACCTTCCTATATTGGTTACTTTACACAAACTTTTCTAATTGAAGTAGGTTCATTCACGCATTTTGATTTCTCTCACATCTACGGAATCGATATAATACTCCCGTACAAATTATTAGGCTTCCCGCTGCTTGTCAGCAGGGAACCTATTGTATTCCTGTGTTTTGTTATTATTATTATTTTTTATTTAATATTTATTTTTATTATTTTTTTTTTCAAATTGGTCTTACAAACTTGAAATTCACCTCAAATGTGCAGAAGTTCTCAGCTAGCAATAAAATGCAACTTTTATGCATGACTGACCACGCTTTCAGGCTCCAGTGAGCAAAACGCGTCTTCAGTTTTTTTGCGATTTCTCAAAATTGATACAAGCTATTGGGTTGAAATTCATAACAATGATTAATGGACATGTTCCGGATACAATATGTCAAGGATACGCATGAGTGATCTCGGCGATACGCTCCAGTGAGCAATATAGGATTTTACATTTTCATCTTCATCTCGAGAACGACACTACTTAGAGACTTGAAATTCACATCACATACAGATAATAAGTCCCCCATCATAAATTGCAAATTTTATGCATGACTGACCACGCTTTCACGCTCCAGTGAGCAAAACGCGTTTTAAGTTTTTTTGCAATTTCTAAAAATTGATACATGCTATTGGGTTGAAAGTCATAACAATGATTAATGGACATGTTCCGGATACAATATGTCAAGGATACGCATGAGTGATCTCGGCGATACGCTCCAGTGAGCAATATAGGATTTTACATTTTCATCTTCTTCTCGAGAACGACACTACTTAGAGACTTGAAATTTACATCACATGCAGATAATAAGTCCTCCATCATAAATTGCAAATTTTATGCATGACTGACCACGCTTTCACGCTCCAGTGAGCAAAACGCCTCTTCAGTTTTTTTTGCGATTTCTCAAAATTGATACATGCTATTGGGTTGAAATTCATTAGAATGATTAATGGACATGTTCCGGATATAATAAGTCAAGGATACGCATGAGTGATCTCGGCGATACGCTCCAGTGAGCAATATAGGATTTTACATTTTCATCTTCTTCTCGAGAACGACACTACTTAGAGACTTGAAATTTACATCACATGCAGATAAGTCCCCCATCATAAATTGCAAATTTTATGCATGACTGACCACGCTTTCACGCTCCAGCGAGCAAAACGCGTCTTCAGTTTTTTTGCGATTTCTCAAAATTGATACATGCTATTGGGTTGAAATTCATAACAATGATTAATGGACATGTTCCGGATACAATATGTCAAGGATACGCATGAGTGACCTCGGCGATACGCTCCAGTGAGCAATATAGGATTTTACATTTTCATCTTCTTCTCGAGAACGACACTACTTAGAGACTTGAAATTTACATCACATGCAGATAATAAGTTCCCCATCATAAATTGCAGACCTAATGCATGACTGATCACGGCTTCACGCTCCAGTGCACATAGCATAATTTTCAGTTTTTTTCGCATTTCTCAATTACTATTGAATATTAAGAACTCAAACTTGGTATTTGAAGTCGGTTGATACACCACAACTTATGTTAGCCTTTTGGGGTAGCACATGACTAAGTCATGCATAAGTGATTTTTTCATATTTTACGTTTTTTATTAATATATATATATTTTTTTTCAAATTGGTCCTACAAACTTGAAATTCACCTCAAATGTGTAGAGGTACACAACTAACAACAAAATGCAAATTTTATGCATGAGACCACGATTTCTTCCAAAGAATATCAACTATTCACTATGTGTGTATTTTGTACGTTTCTCTTCACAAAAATAGATTAATCACAACTTGCGTATTTTGAATGTATTTAGGGTGAAACGGGGACTGGGACGAAACTCAAAGCTATTCGAATACCATTATGGTAGCTATAATACGTCGGCAATGATTCTACAGTTACTTTACATGTTTTTATTTTTATGTACACGTGATCCAAAAGAGTACACCCGTCTGTGGTGTAAGAGTGAACAACCTGAGTAAAGCCAGCAATGCTGAACATCTGCTCGATATATTTATTGTCAGCCAACAGATCTTCATTGAAATCGCCCATTATGAGACAGTCCATATCCAGATTTGCAAGTTCTTTTAACAAAATCTTTAACGCATTGCTAAATTTTGACAAAGGATAAGATGGCGGCCTGTAAATACTCACTAATACGGTATCTTTTTCGACGAGCAGAAGGCATAAAAATTCCAGGTTGAGAACATCAATGTCCATCACCCTCACTTTCAATTCGCTTCGAAGCAAAAATCCAACTCCCCCTTGCTTTTTTGTTTTCAAATTGTCCGAAAAAATCATCGTTTTTATCATAGCATTCACTTCTGTTTCGAATTACGATATTAAAAACAGAAGATTGAAGTGAGAAGATTCCGTGCGTTTCAGTCAAGCAAATAACGTCGCATTCTGTGAACCGGGAATCACTCATCAAGTCTTCCCAATGTGCACGTAATCCTTGAATATTTATCAAACATATTTTCAATATAATATCGATATTATCAAATATTTTGCATTTTTCAGGTAAAAATCGAGACATATTTGACATGGCACTTTCAATTCCTTCGTCGCAATATATAGCGCTTTCCCTGAAATTTTCTATGATGAGATTCTGAACACATCTCACCCTACTGAGCGCGACATACATTTGACCAGCTCTAAAGGCTTTTTTGAAGTCAACGAGAGCAGCGTCCACTGTAACACCTTGCATTTTATGAATAGTGCATCCCCACGACAGTTTAAGGAGAAACTGTTTGTAACTGCCGCGGCCTGAAAATGAATCTTCGACTTTTGTGATAGGAACGCCGTCCTCATATCTGCATTTTGATCTCATTCTCAATGCGGCGCCAACACGATGGTCGTCAAATCGGACATGGATGACATCTACTTCAATTGTACTTTCTGCGCGGTGAATGCTCACAATGGTACCAATTACACCGTTAACAAGTCCATCGGTTGCATCAATGTTGCGTAGCAACATCACCCTATGTAATGAATGAGAAATACAGTACCTTGATATAAGGCTTTATTCAACTTAAATTTAAAGCACTCTTAGAATGAATCTAAAATAATATAACACAAGCAAATGTTATTAAACAAGAAAACAAATACGTATCGAATTGCAGATGCTAACAGTAAGCGGCTCAATAGTTAAATGAATCAAGTTAAAAGAATTAACACACTACAACTACAGCACAGCAATGATTGGTGTCTGATTCAAAACGCCACAGCAATCATCGCTTGACTGCAGCTGTATAAACAAATAGATACATTGAGTTGCATTTCCAAGTTATCACACCCTAGCCTCAACAGAAAATTTCAAAGTCTTTTGCAATTGACCCATTGGTATATATGTCCGACAACTGGATGAGCGATTTTCTGACGTGGGAGTTAAAACATCAGCAGCTATTTCTACTATTTCCTTATCAAGAGAAAGAAGACGTTTCAAGTTAAATTCATTTACTTGAGCGTTTGTTGGGTAAATGTGGATGATATCTGATTTTGTTTCACCAGTTTCACGCTGAGAGAGCATCGAAATATCACATGCGTTCATTATCTCGCCTTTTTTCTTTGTGCGTATACGATTAAGCATTTCTGCAAATTTTTTATCGCCCTTTTGCCTCATAATTTCGTTAAGCTCTACTAGCTTAAAATACCCATTCCATAGATCGCCCAACGGATTTGGCTTGAACAACGGGGATGCTTTAACCGGAGGAAGTTGATAGAAATCCCCTACTGCAATTATGCTTACTTTGCCAAATGGAAACTCATCGCTTGCGCTTTTTATTTGGCGTAATCTTCCGTGAATATATGATAATAATTTGTAATCGACCATTGATATCTCACCAATGATCAATAATTCCAAATTTTCATACCTGCATTTCAAGGTGTTGAGTTTTTCTTCTGCAAGTGGTCTATATGGAATTGTCGCTTGTACTGGGATGCTAAATGTACTGTGTATTGTTGTGGCTTTGATATTGTATGCTGCAACGCCAGTGGAAGCGGTCAGTAATACTCGAATTTGAGAAATGACTTCTGCTCTGTTGGCGAGCACCTTGGATGTCTCGTAATAAATTGCTTTCACTAAATGTGATTTCCCGGTTCCAGCTCCGCCAGATATAAAAAGATGAAATGAATCTGGATTTTTTCCATTTGCTTTTTTTACACACCATTGTCGAATCGCGTAAAAAACCTCAGTTTGCATTTCGTTGAGAGATCTTAGGATTGGCAAGGCTTCCTCTTTACTAATAAAAACATTTTTTACGAATGTGATCTCGCTTGTCGTCTGATGGAGATCAGGTATATCATCACATTCCTGCTCGTCTTCAACAGTGTGTATTACCATCCATGTCTCTACCCTCGTCACGAGTACGCTGTTGGAGCTCTGTTATTAGATCAGCCCACTCATCTTGTGAAAGCTGTTCATCAGCTAACATATCTCCGGCTTCCGAAAGTTCTTCGCGTATATTTTCCAACACCGAAAAAAAGTTCCAATATACTTCGATAATATTTTTCACTATTTTTTTCTTTACGAAAACGGGGGTATCGAACTATCGCGGGTTGAGTTGTTTCTCTCTTTTGTACACGACCTAATCCTTTTTCCAGTTCCAGAGCTTTTTTATTTCCTTTTACCTGTGTTTGTGACAATACGCGATATCTTGAAAAAAACTCACCATAGCATATTTCGTCTATTTCCTGTTGTCTTGGCCTTGCCCTATATTTTTCTATCATACTTGTCATCCACATATCAGACGGGTTGAGCTCGCCGCCACTTGCTTTCAACTTATTTTTCAGCACTGACAATGACAAGCTTATTTTTACAGAATCACCCCCAGTTGGTAAAAACACTACGTTTCGTGAACATCCTTTTAAAGGCATATTGCAAGCTCTGAATGCCGACTCCTGTGCACTCACTTCCCTGTTTCTCAAATACAACATCCCAATCTTTTTCATAACGTCCCTTGCAGAATTATGGCCTTGGTTCAAGCATTCGTTAACGCATCCTTCCATTAGAAAGCTCATTTCTCTCTCTCCCTTAGAAATATAGGATAGAATATAAACTACACATGCATATGCATCCGTTACAAATTGCACATCCAATTTAGCGTTCCAGGCCCGCAGCAATGTAGGGTTATATGGATTAGTCCATATGCTACTACATTCTCTTTGTAATATCACCGAGACCTTCTTTGTGATCATCCTGCACGACATTTCGATATCGTCCTGAGTTATGTTCAACTCTTCAAGCAGTTTCGCTAAATTTGCATCCTCAGCACATTGCCATTTTTCATTGAAGATGTGTGACATTATTTTTTTTAATATATCCTTGGCCTTGGCAATGGCCGAATCATCTGCAGCAATAGCTTGGTCACACTGAGCTATAAACGTCCTGGAAGAAGGTGGCCTGGGAAAACCATATCTACACACAGTGCCTTTTTTCCGGCACGATTTGGTGTGGGATTTACTATGCTGTTGTACACTATTAACTATGTAAAAGAGTTTTGTCTTCATGCTCTTGTGGAATCTGACAAGTTACGTGCCTATCTATATATGCTTCAACCTCCGCGTTGCTGTTGACCCCGTATTTCGGGGAATCTTTCACCCACAAGAGGCAGTGAATGTGAGGGGATCCGCGTTGTTGGAACTCTACCCTGAAGAAATAATCTTCCACTTCTCCAAGAGGTTTACATGAAGAAAGTATAATACTTCTCAAAAAACTCTGAAACCGATTTTGAAAAAGTCTGGCAGTCATCACACAGTTTTCGCGTAGAATTTGACATTTTTCCAACCAATCGATTTCTGATGACAAACGCTTATCACCCCTTTGACGAAGCAAACAGTCAAAAACTTCCGGCCATCTCATTTCCGCGGACGAAAAAGACCAAAACTAAGTCGGCAATCCAAGCTGGCGGACCATTGCCAATAGGTCTTTCTGCGCGGCCTGCCAGAATGCTGGTGTCCCTCTGACAGGTCTTAAAAATTTTGGCGAGTTTTGGGCAACTAACTTATTTTCATGAAAGGAATATATAGCGAGATTAGATGGCGCTCAATTGAGTTTAGTCTCGCTAACTCGGGTGGAACTTCCTCTACAAGCATGTTGTTGTCCCACGCTTTGACAGGAACTTTACCACTCTTGAGTTTGCTGCTACAAGTATGACATATCCAAATATTTCTTGCGTTAACAAATCCACAGGGCTTCGTGCAAAAAGTGTTACATTTGTGCTTATATTTTGTACTGATGTTCCCGCATTTATACTTATTTCTTTTGTATACGATAACGCTTTTACGGAAAAACGATCGAATGCATATGCAGCATACGCAATCTGGTCCACATTTTATCTGACTTTCTGAATTTTTCAATAGAATTTTTAGCTGACATATCGCGTTTACTGCACCAGTATTTCTTTTGAGCTACGTTTCTGACACGTTGGTTATGTTTTGCATCAAATCTGTACATATTGGCACTCCTGGTTTTAACTTCCTGCCTGTGTAGTTCGTCAAGATCGTATTTCTTCACGCTTCTAGTTTTCATTCTCTCCCTGTGTTTTTCGTCATGTTTGTACTTCTTGACACTTCTGGCTTTCATTTGCTCCCTGTGTTTTTCGTCATGTTTGTACTTCTTGACACTTCTGGCTTTCATTTGCTCCCTGTGTTTTTCGTCAAGTTTGTATTGCTCAGCACTTCTGGTTTTTACTTGCTTCCTGTGTTTTCCGTCAAGTTTGTACTGCTCAGCACTTCTGGTTTTTACTTGCTTCCTGTGTTTTTCGTCAAGTTTGTACTGCTTCACGCTTCTAGTTTTCATTCTCTCCCTGTGTTTTTCGTCATGTTTGTATTTCTTGACACTTCTGGCTTTCATTTGCTCCCTGTGTTTTTCGTCAAGTTTGTACTGCTTCACGCTTCTAGTTTTCATTCTCTCCCTGTGTTTTTCGTCATGTTTGTATTTCTTGACACTTCTGGCTTTCATTTGCTCCCTGTGTTTTTCGTCAAGTTTGTACTGCTTCACGCTTCTAGTTTTCATTCTCTCCCTGTTTTTTCTCGTCATGTTTGTATTTCTTGACACTTCTGGCTTTCATTTGCTCCCTGTGTTTTTCGTCAAGTTTGTACTGCTTCACGCTTCTAGTTTTCATTCTCTCCCTGTGTTTTTCGTCATGTTTGTATTTCTTGACACTTCTGGCTTTCATTTGCTCCCTGTGTTTTTCGTCAAGTTTGTACTGCTTCACGCTTCTAGTTTTCATTCTCTCCCTGTGTTTTTCGTCATGTTTGTATTTCTTGACACTTCTGGCTTTCATTTGCTACCTGTGTTTTTCGTCAAGTTTGTACTGCTCAGCACTTCTGGTTTTTACTTGCTTCCTGTGTTTTTCGTCAAGTTTGTACTGCTCAGCACTTCTGGTTTTTACTTGCTTTCTGTGTTTTTCGTCAAGTTTGTACTGCTTCACGCTTCTAGTTTTCATTCTCTCCCTGTTTTTTTCGTCATGTCTGTATTTCTTGACACTTCTGGCTTTCATTTGCTCCCTGTGTTTTTCGTCAAGTTTGTACTGCTTCACGCTTCTAGTTTTCATTCTCTCCCTGTTTTTTCTCGTCATGTTTGTATTTCTTGACACTTCTGGCTTTCATTTGCTCCCTGTGTTTTTCGTCAAGTTTGTACTGCTTCACGCTTCTAGTTTTCATTCTCTCCCTGTGTTTTTCGTCATGTTTGTATTTCTTGACACTTCTGGCTTTCATTTGCTCCCTGTGTTTTTCGTCAAGTTTGTACTGCTTCACGCTTCTAGTTTTCATTCTCTCCCTGTGTTTTTCGTCATGTTTGTATTTCTTGACACTTCTGGCTTTCATTTGCTACCTGTGTTTTTCGTCAAGTTTGTACTGCTCAGCACTTCTGGTTTTTACTTGCTTCCTGTGTTTTTCGTCAAGTTTGTACTGCTCAGCACTTCTGGTTTTTACTTGCTTCCTGTGTTTTTCGTCAAGTTTGTACTGCTTCACGCTTCTAGTTTTCATTCTCTCCCTGTTTTTTTCGTCATGTCTGTATTTCTTGACACTTCTGGCTTTCATTTGCTCCCTGTGTTTTTCGTCAGTTTGTACTGCTTCACGCTTCTAGTTTTCATTCTCTCCCTGTGTTTTTCGTCATGTTTGTATTTCTTGACACTTCTGGCTTTCATTTGCTCCCTGTGTTTTTCGTCAAGTTTGTACTGCTTCACGCTTCTAGTTTTCATTCTCTCCCTGTGTTTTTCGTCATGTTTGTATTTCTTGACACTTCTGGCTTTCATTTGCTCCCTGTGTTTTTCGTCAAGTTTGTACTGCTCAGCACTTCTGGTTTTTACTTGCTTCCTGTGTTTTTCGTCAAGTTTGTACTGCTCAGCACTTCTGGTTCTTACTTGCTTCCTGTATTTGTCATCGAGATGGTACTTCTGAATATTGCTAGCTATTACTTTTTCTCTGTGTTGTACGTCAGTTTCGTATTTCTTTACGCTTCTTGTCTTTAATGCTTCTCTGTGGCTTTCATTATATTTATATTTTGCTGAGCTTCTCCAATTTGATTTTTTGTTGTAGTTTTGATCGGTTTTATACCTTCGCCTGCTACTTTTTTCACATTCTCTCGATATTCTTCACATAATTCATAGCGCATATCGGCTTCACTCATACTTGATGTTGTTTGCTTTTCTATGTGTCCCACCTCATACCATTCGGTATTTCTCGTAACTTTGTGCCGAGTAACCATGGTCGGATCCCCCTCATCATCGCCATTCTGCCAACTCTTGGCGTCCGTAACAATTTCATAATGATTTCCACCTTTGTTAATCAAATATATCGATCCCCTTGAATGCGTAACGTAATTGCGATTCAGTAACGCTCTGGAATACTTCAGCCACCTGTTTTCAAAATACGTGTATATGTCTAATGCCAGTAAGTCACAAGCAGAAAATATTTCCACTTCTGTTGCCCACGTGCCGTCATCAAACATCTTGGACTGTTTGATATAATTCTCAACCCCATCTTCCGCGTATTCATCGCGCAAAATATCTGAAAAGACGCATGGATTTTCTTCGATATTTTGCGCAATTGCTTGCCTAAGTTGTGCGTTATTGTGTTCAGTTCCGGACAGCTCATGAGATAACGCATTGAAAAAGCAATTTCCGTCTGCCTTGACTGAAACAACTTTTGCAGGTTCGTTCAGTCGTTCGTTGATTGGATTTTCATCTATTACCAATTCGATTTTCAATCCCAGTTTTTTACAAATGTCAAATCTTGTGGCATAGTTTAGTCTAGAAAAAAGCATCTCGTGTTGGGTACTTTTAACTTCTTGTACCACATCTGTGTCATTTCCAGCAAAAACCTGGGTGATTTCGACGGCGACCATTTCGAACTGACAAGCAAAATCCTCCGAGGGCGAGATATTTCGGTGTAGTATTTGTAGGTGACAATGAACGTCATCTAAACACCCAAATTTAAGCGTAATTGACGTGCCATTATAGCACACCATACCATCTCTATTACGAGAATGAGGATCAAAAACAAAGTACGTCGATTCGTCCTTGATTATTCCCAATGTGTTGCTGTTCAGCGTAAAGAGAGCACATACGCTGCTACTAAACGTCTCTGCAAGAGCATCTCCTTGAGCATAAATTGAAAAACAAACTTTTTGTTTTCCTTGAAATAACGCACTGAAATAATTTCCTATGTACTAGATCAGGGTGGTCCAAGGTTGTCCGTTCCGCGGGCCACAAAATTATTTTTGCATTGTTCGCGGGCCACAATAGTGCCAAGAATAGGTAAACAGTGCAATACAAAAACACTTTTATTGTGCAAACACATAGTTGTCAGACATAGCCATTCCAGGCTAATAGAATCCGCATTCGATTTTTAGTTTTCTATGATGCCTATATTGTTTCTATTCCCGACCAAAAAGATAGAAAGCCAGATAATAATTTAAACTGCCAAGCACATCATTCAACTTCGCTAGTTGCCTCAGCTAGCCATAACACTAGTCAATTCAGTGACATTATTGATGTAACAATATGTCAAAATATTTCTCTGATTAATTTTATTACGAAACAACACAAAATGCGATTTTTTGATTACTATCCGAATGTGACGCGGGCCACAGATAATAAAACGGCTGGCCACATGTGGCCCGCGGGCCTGGGTTTGGACCACCCTGCACTAGATACTGCCGAGTGTAGACAATCGATATAAATTTTTTGCCGGACCTATCATATATATTAGAATTCGAATTAGATTCACCGTTTTCAATATTTAGGTAACCCATTGAAAAGTTATGCGCAATCTTCAATAACATTCAACTGAACACAAACGAACGATGTTGTAATCATATTTGATACATTAATTTTATAATACGCCATTGTATATACCGTTGTGTTTTGTGGCGAGAGATATTAGGTATTATACAATCTGATTAACATGAACTAATCGTGTAAATACCAGATGTCTGACGGGATTAGAATTTTGGTTAAACATACTCGTGTAAAGTGAAGCCTTTTACAAATTGGATTCTACACATAATTTTATTACAATTTCCCCGTTGGAAGTGTTGGCTACACGGTTTTTTGACATTAAACAAAATACGCCTTACCAGGTCAACAGGTGTTTCAGGGTCTGGTATTTTAAATTGGCATTGTCTGACATAGGCTTACTGGGAAGGTTATATGATTTATTATATATATATATCAAATATCAAAATGTACTATATCGCTGCTTTGGTCTCTATATTTTGCGCTGGGGAGGTATTGGCAATGAGACGCGAGTATTTCATTGCAATGGAAGAAATAGTTTGGAATTACAACGGCCCTGAGAGCAGGTATAATTTGAGTTAATTGAGGTGAACGAGATGACTCAAAAAAGATATTTTACCCGAATCCATCACATAGTTGAGAAATGCAGCAATGTCTTTTTTTTTTCAATCTGCCAAAATTATTTTTTATATAATCAAGAAAAAATAATAAATTGTAATGTGTTCATAAAACCTACAAATAATTTGAGAGATAAAATATTTGTATAAGCAAAATTTCGTCTAGACATAACAGTATAACACCATTCTGCGTATATCCAATAAAGTTTTTACGATATTAAAAAATATAACGCCTCAAATTTCCGAAATCTTTATTCAACCTTTAACAATCTTTCAAAATACATTGATATGAATCCAAACTTTTCTTGCAGCCGAGTTTCTAGGCGTCGTGGACCGGCCAGGATAGGAGGAGAATATAAGAAAGCAGTTTTTCGTCAATACACTGATTCCACCTTCAGCACTCGAAGTCCGAGACCGGAGTCATTGGGATTGTTTGGTCCTATTATTAGAGCTGAGGTATGACATGTTTTGTTGTTGAAGCGAATACAAAATTAAACGATTCAAGTTTGAAATTAGTATTTATATCAAGGTGAACGACACGATCGTTGTTTATGCTTTCAACCGGCCTCCCGACCATATAGCATTCATCCACATGGCGTTTTTTACGAGAAATCCAGTGAGGGAGCGTTGTACTCAGACAACACAACATCTTCAGATAAAGTCGATGACACAATTCCACCCGGAGGAAAACATACTTATGTCTGGGAAGTTAGAGACGCGTATGTAACTGAGTCTTGAAATAAAATAAGTTTTTAATATTATCCGCGTTGACCGACTATCGATTGAGTATTTTTTTTTTCTTTTTGATAGGCAAGATTCTCAAATATTTGTACAAGACAAATATTTGCTTCATATCACTTACTTACTTTGTAGATATGCTCCAGGAAAGGAAGATCCAAACTGCTTAACCTGGGCTTATCATTCTCATGTTCACTCGTCAAGAGGTCAACACACTGGCTTAATCGGAACTCTCCTCACGTGCAAAGAAGGTATCGTATCAAAGACTAATAAGTCACGCCGCAAGTGAAAACTTTATATGAGGATCAATTTGATTATATTATTAATCAGAATTCCTCCTCACACAAATTTTAATACGATTTTCTGAGTATGGGTGAATTTTACAGAAACATATATATATATATATATATTTTAGTATGTCATTATGAATCGACAATTGTTTCAAAATCGATATTGTCTTTGTGTTCTAAATTGCCTATTTAACAACACAATGAAAATCTGTGAATGATGTCCAAAATTATTGTTAAACCATGCAATGCAGTCTATGCAAAATATTGTGAACTCTTATTTGGAAGATTAATGTGGAAGGCTTTGTGAGCAGAAGCAGTAAATGCCGCAGTAAATCGCGAACCTTGACATATTTATCAAGACGAAAATCTTTAGAACCAGAAATATTGTTTATTGAGCATACCCTATCTAGAGGAATTTATATCGTGTACAAACAATTTAAAGCTTCACAAACGTTACAATGATTGTGAAATAAACGATTTGTTTGTGCAGGGCATAAATTGGCCCATCAGAAAACTGTAAAATATTCATAAATATTCATAAATATTCATTTGTTAGAAATTTCATCAAAAATTGCCAATGATTTCAAAAAGATTCTCGTGTGCGAAGTCTTGATATCGATATAACACTTCGTTGTTCACAAGCGTTCAACTCCAGGACTGTCCATCAATTGGTCCATTACCACCAATTCGCTCATATTGTTATAATTGAGGCATTTATATAGTAATCAACTAATTACAGAATAAGGGTACCATGTAAAACATAGTAAAAGTAGATAGCACCAATGCAAGTCGTTACATTAATGATGAAATTTATTTCAAAAAATATTATGCAACTTATGAACTGATAGCTTTATGAAATTTCTACAAGAATCGCGATACATTAGTTTCCAAGCGAAAATATTTATTTTTAAATTCAGGAACATTGACATCTGCGGGACAACGTACTGATGTAGATCGTGAATTTGCAATTATTGTCTTCATCATTGACGAAAACGAAAGTTGGTACATTGACGAAAATATTAAGGTAAGAAGGCGGCTCACTAATAATGTTAAAATTATTTTTATCACATTTTACTAATAGAGGTTTAACACCTCAAAACCATTATACCGGTTTGGCTGTACTGGAAAGCTGTAACACGAAATCCATTTCATATGTTTATTATTATTTCTAACCATAGAAACCAATGTTTCATTTGTATATTGTACTTAATGTGGAATGTGGAAATTACTGGCAAGTTTGTAGACGCGGTCTAAAATGACAATTCAAAAAACTATGAGATATATAAAACCTTAAATTTTTGATTCAAGATTTTTAATCAAATTTTTATTTTTTGTTTAGACCTACACTCTGCAGCCAGAAACTGTATATAAAAAAGATCCAGATTTCATTGAAAGCAATGTATTTCACGCTATGAATGGAAAAATCTCATTAAGGCTCTCGGTTGAAATGTGCAAGGGCGATTTGGTGAACTGGTATCTCATTGGAATGGGATCAGAAATTCATGGGATGAAATTTACTGGAAATTCAGTAATATATTATCTTTGCTATTTGATTCAAAAGTCTTTCTGCACACGAACACAATTGTATTTTTGTAACGTCTGGTCTGACTGAGGTCAGGCTTCTTCAGACGAACATATTTCAATTGTAAATTTATTTGTGTTAGTTAGCAAGACTGTCGAATCAAATAGAATAGATATCTTTTTCTGCCTACAGCGTTCTTCAGGCTTGTCCATGGTAATGAGATTCCCATAGAAATCCCATGGGAATCGTCTCATGGGGTGGGGTAGGATGGGACAGCACACATTCGTATTTTACATGGGACACGTGGGACACGAAAACCGTATAATTTTTGGGGAAATGATGGTAAAACATTTCGTTATGGACTTCGTGTCCATATATTTGAGCATAGCTCTCTTGTTAGTTATAAAGAGAAAAATATATTTAGCATTAACTATATACATCGTGAAGGGGATGATGGACACATGTATAATAGGTATGAATAAAAGTTAACAAAGTCCGTAAATTTGTTGTTTTGCATGTATCTTTGTACATGTAGTCCTATTTAGTAGACGCCAGACCTAAATTTAACAATTTTTATTGAATTTTAATCCAATGGAAATCCCATGGGATGGGATGGGACAGGCATAACTGCTATGGGATGGGATGTGAATGGACCGAAAAATATGTTCCATTGGCAAGCCTAGCGTTCTGGCATTACGTATGTGGATCCACTCGCGCAAAGGAATAGTCGGTCAAGTGCAAAATCAATCAAATGCCACAACGCTTGGTTACTAGCGTAAATTCAAAGTACAATCAATTGTAACAACTTTCACTATTTAAAATTGATTGAATTTAAAGCATTCTCAATTTTATTTGTCATGTATATGGATTGTCAGCGAAGTATATCGATTTTAAAAAACATACTGGAAAGCAATCAACTATTATTTTATTGCTTCTCAAGTTTATACTAAAATGTTACACATTCAATCTTTTAAAAAAATCATCAGGCAATTACTAATGGACATCGCGGAGATATTGTGCCTTTGTTCCCGGCAACATTCATGACTACAATTATGAGAGCTGACAATCCAGGAAAGTGGATTTTTGGATGCCAAGTGACAAACCATCTTGCTGGCGGTAACAAAATTTCCTCATTCTTTCCATCTGCCAGTTAATTTACAGTATTTTCCAAAGTTCAAATTTTTGTCATTTTCGATCATTAAAATGCTATTTGATCACTAAAATCGTCGATAAATTTCCCTTCGTTTCAAATTAAAGGTATTGCTATTTGGTATATTTTTAAACACATGTATCAAGAAGTATTTCTTTAATTTGACAAATTGTTTTGGTTTATTCCAGGAATGGGAATGTTTTACACAGTAAATGATACTTGTAAACCAGCGCTGGGGGCAGAATTTGGAAAAGGGTTAGAAAGTGTTGGCGACACCATTCGGACATATTGTGTTGCAGCAGAAGAAGTGGAATGGAATTATGCACCAACTGGAATGAACATGATTACACAAAAACCGATTGCTGAAAAGGGCCAGTGAGATACAATTATTATTTGCTCTTGCAATATGTATAAACGGGTTCATGTGAAGGGTAACTATGGGCGGGCCTAGAATCCACGAAAAATTAATTTATTCAACACGAATAAAAAAGAAAAATAACATATTGTTTTAATATATTTTGTTTTCAGAGTATTAGAAATTTAAGCAATATGTTCATAGGTACAATAACTACTCGTAAACAGTGCTTTGCTTTGGCACTTTCTATTATGATTGTACTCTACAGTCTACACTAATGTACACAAATAAATTATTTTAGGGAAAGTCATGAATATTTCAAGAATAGTCCAGATAGAATAGGAGGAATCTATATCAAGGCGGTTTATAAAGGATACACTGATGATACATTTCAAGTAGAAGTGGAACGTGATCCTGTAATGGGAATCCTTGGTCCTATTATTTTTGCCGAAGTTGGAGAAACAATACATGTTGTATTTAAGAACAAGGCTAATCGGGTAAGCATTCGGACCAGTGCTGGCACCACATTGAATTTCATTCCCAAATTTGCAATTGTGTCTCAGTGTTTAATGAAATGATTCTAGTTGGTCAGACGACTCAGATCTCAATATCGGCCCGTTTAAACATTTTGACCATTTTCCCTTTTCAAGTATCATCTTAAACCTATGTATAAATGTTTGTAGAAATGAGAACTATTTCCAATAATCCATGTGAACTAATCATAACTTGCCCCTGAATTAGTGATGAACTCACACATTAATAATAATATTTTTCCCCCTGTTAGTTTTGATCCAATTTGCTGAATAATATCGTGTGTCGTTTATGGTGTAAATATTTTGGAAGACACATATAGGACACCACATTCTTGCGTGCCCAGGGCCTCTGAAGAGTATTATCCGTCCGTGATTCAGATACACAGATTCCGTATTTCATCGATGTAAATCTTTTCTGTTTTAACCTCCAGTATATAGACGTACCAACCTAGTAAGAATTCTTGGCCTACTAGAGCAATGTTACGAAATATTGTATCACGCTCAAAACTAGGTTTAACTCGTGATGTTATTACACGTTTGTAATGGCATGTCAAAAAGTAGTTTTATCCTAATTGTTATTGGAACAAAATGGACCTATCGATCGTTTTGTTCTAAAAAAATTACTTTCAACGTCAACTACCGGATCAATTGATTGGGAATTTTTACTGGTTGTAGCTTTCACTTGGATTTTGAGAGAAGGCTATTACTTTCATTCATTTTGAAAAATATCTGTGGTCTCTTTGGGATTCTTTTTCACCTCGAAGTTTTGTGCAACGAAGTCATCAAAATTATAAATTGCGTGCTGTGGTTACGTGATTACATCTCAGTGATCTTATAATCAGACTACTGTTGCTGTGGAGGATTTGATACTCTTTTGTTTTGGCTTTCGATTCATATATTTGAATATTGTTTTCTTCTGTTATATATTTTACACAGACCTATGAGATGGTTCCTCAAGGAGTCTTCTCATTTGGAGCACAAGAAGTAAAACCGGGAGAGAATTACACTTATGTGTGGTAAGCGAACAAAATACATATAACTTTGGAATTATTAAGCAACTGTTAGTTGAAGCAGGTAACTTACTTTGCCATAACTTACGTGAACAACTAAACTTCAGCAACATCGCAATAGATTCAACTAGAAACACAATACCATGCAATGGTGAGATGGTCATATCAACATGAGATCACTATAACACATTTAAGAGTAAACTTCAAAAACTGATTACCTAAATATTGTAATCTCAAGTAGGGGGTATCTTTATTAGGCGTATTTTGTTGTGATGAATTTAATAATAACTTCAGGCCTGTACCAGACAGAGTTTCTCCTCTCGAAAAAGATGAAAACTGTATTACACATATGTATTCGTCATTAGCCAGTCTTGATGTTGACCAACATACCGGACTGGTTGGCCCCATCGTGATTTGCAAAAGAGGTAAATAATGTCAACTATTATCGTTTGCGGAAACAAAATAATTTTTAATAAATTAAATATTTCATAACAAAAATACTTGAACTGACTATATACTGGTTTCAGTGTTGGATTATAATCCACTGAAGAGTTTCACTGATTTTCCTAATTTAAACTTTTATTAAAGTAATTTATTATAAAAACAGTTAGATAAAATATAATGTTGTATATATTTTCAAACCACGATATATTTGCAATTCCCTCTCTATGAAAGTTGATAAGACAACTCAATTTAAACCTATTTTAACTATTTAGGAAGTATTTCGTCGCAGTAGGCCTACTATTCGTTTGTTCTTATTTATGTGTATAATTTACTTTGTATATATGTGCTGTTATATTTTTTTATAGAAAAAAAAACGATAAAACAATAGTAATGAAGTATAAAATAAATATAACTTTCTGTATTATACCAAACAAGGCACACTAGCAGATGAAATGAAAAAAACGGTTTACTACATGTTGTTGGCAACGTACGACGAAAACGAAAGTCCATATCTTCAACAAAATATTGATGCTTTCGCGGGAGATCCTTCATCGGTTGATAAAGATGATGAAGATTTCAAGGAATCAAATAGAATGCAATGTGAGTTAAAATCATTTACTTTTAGGACATGATAACAATAGCAAAATAAAGCGTGTATAATAAGATGCCAACGGTGGCTCATTAAAGATTTATGTTTGGCACTTGAGAATAAGACAGGGATGCAAAAATAGATGGACATAAACGTCAAAATGAAGTAGCTAAGGTATGCTATCTATCACGGTAGACTACCACCACAAAGTTTGTAATTTTGATGACGTCATTGCAGAAAAGCGACCCCTTGGAGCCAAAAGAAATTTTAAATATAAATAAAAAATGATAGCCTTCTAGAATTTTCAACCACGGGGAATTTGAACGCAATTGGTCCAGTAATTAAAGAAAATTTTATTTCACAACGAGACAAATACTAATAATGAAATAAACATGAACAATAACAACATAGTAACAAAACGATTCATATGTACATTTCGTGTCCAAAGAACGAAACTATTTGTCATAAAACCACAACTTGGCGACATAAAAGAACGTGAAATGTACCATGTCAAATATCCCACCTAGTCACACTAGTGAAATAGTTGACGATTTTTTAACGGAAATGCAAAATTATACTGTATGTTTTTGAATGTAAAAAATAAATTTACTCAGTTCCTCTAAAATTAAAAGTTTTTCCTTATCTTTTCATTATCTTTTATCAGCAATTAATGGTTTGGCGTTCGCTAATCTACTCGGCGTGCAGTTGTGTGCTGAACAATATACCGATATTCGTTTATTATCTCTGGGTTCTGAACTGAATAATCATGCCTTCTTATTGGACGGAGCTGCAAGAAAAACTAGGTGATTTCAAATTTTGTTGTGACTTAGTAATAAACATATAGAAAAAATATTGTTTTTTGAAATTTGTTGTTAAATCCAAAAACATAAACATTGACCGACATGGCGTTTAAAAATCTGAGATTTGTAAATTCACATAACGTGTGATTTGATATTTAAATGATGTTTTTTTCTTGTTGTCAAATTGTTCATTAAACGAAGACTGAAAACCTTTTTAAATAATTTCCTATGCTGTTTTTATATTTGGGTGAAAAAATATTTTAAAAACTTTAGAATGGTAGAAAATGTTTCAATTTTGTTTTTTTCATGATGCAATGTGAAATTTCTTGTGCTTGTTTTAAGAACCGAGTACACTGGCATGACTGGAGTTTTCCCCCATGTTATCAGCACGATGAGTGCATACCCATTTGCGCCTGGTGTAGCAGTGTATGGATGTCACGTATCAAACCATGGAACCAATGGTATGATCTCTTTTTATGAGGTAAATGAGAGTATTATGTTCGTGTTATCTTGCAACAACTTCGGTTTGGGAAGAGAGTTCAGGTCAATTGTTTGATCGATTAAGTGGCAACTGTTAACATTAAGCTAGAGACGTGCAATAAAGATCATCGCTCAGAGTGGTACAATAATATTTCACGGTAGCCTACACATAATATAATGAATCTCAATCATTAACGTCGTGTAATAAGAGAGGTATCTATCGTGGGGCTAGAGGAGTCATGGTCATATGTAGGCGGAATAAGGAGCCTATTTTTCTGTGTAAAATTAACTTTTGTAACCCATATATATAACAATGCAGAGACACCGTTCAAATCGTATTGCAGGAACATTAAACGAAATGAACGGAGGAATGGCAGATGGTCAAGCTTTGCTCCAATTTTACGACCATAACCTCTCATAACAAAACTATTAACAAATATTTCTATTTTCATTAAGTCAAAATACTGCAGAGATCCGAAGCCAAAATTCCAGCCTTCTGCTAAACGAACTATTTATCTCGGCATTGTTGAAGAAGTTTGGGATTATCTTCCTCGTAGATTCGATCATAAAGGAAATTCTGTTGATGATCCAGAACATCTCGCTTATTTATATGCTCACCAGGAGAATGGAAAATACATAGGTTAAATTTAACTTGAATCTTTGCTAAAAAAATCTAAAGTTGACTATATTTTGTTTTTGTGCAATAACGATGGACCATTTGTGACACTTATGTATGCTTAATAAAACATTATTAACCGCTTGCACGTGTCTTTGGTATTTATTTTACTTCTAATCTAATATCTAATCTTCTCATTACTAACAAAAATTCATGTAAGATAATGATATTTTCAGGATCAAGGTATAAAAAAGCTATATTTTATGAATATACGGATGCCTCCTTCACTGTTCAAAAACCAAAGCCAAAGCATCTTGGATTCGACGGACCCATTTTAAAAATGGAAATCGGTGACGAAGTGAAGGTGACGCATTTGATAAAATTTTATGACATTTGCTTATTTTTATATATAGTTTGAGAAATCGACAGCTTTTTATGAATAAAACAATAACACGGTGTGTTGTTCAAAGGTTATTTTCAAAAATATGGCAACGATTAAGTTCAATGTGCTACCAATCGGCGTGTATTACGTCGAAATTATGAAAGGTCCCATACCAACCGCCGAACCAGGAAAAACCGTGACCTACACTTGGCAGGTATAAATTTATAGTAAACGTAATAAATCTGTAACAAACTCATCATCGTGCTTGAATATAGCTTATTTTGAATTGCTTTCAAAATCTAAAAAATGAATTTTGGGTGTGAATTTTTAATTGAAATTAATGATACTTTTTGTTTCGCATAATTTTATAGTTTTAACTTAATTATATTTTATTATATAGTATAATAGCTAAATAGCAATTGCTAATATGCCTGAGATTCTTGACTGCATTTTGCGTAAAATTTACATTTACTTCATGCATGACATCGTTTTAAAAATATTCAATAAAACACAGGTAAGACCGGAGTTGGCTCCGAATCCGGATCAACCTGATTGTTTCGCCAGTGCCTATTATTCTGTCGCTGATTTCAGAAAAGATGCCTACAGTGGAGCTAGAGGACCCATGGTCATATGTAGAAGAGGTAAATGGCCTATTTTTATTTATGAAATTAACTTTTGCAACACATATATATAACGATGCAGAGAACCGTTCAAATCGTATTGCAGGGACATTAAACCAAAAGAAGGGAGGAATGGCAGATAAAGAGTTCTCTTTATTATTTTACATCACTGATGAAAATTTAAGTCATTATATTGATGAGAATATTCGTGAATTTGCAAAGGCTGATCCAGGAACATTAAATAAAAAAGATAATTTATTTGTGGAAAGTAATAAAATGAATCGTAAGTAAACTATTTTACTATATTACTGTGGGTACTGTATCACAATTATCACACATTTATTGTCTAAACATTTCTATAAAAACTAATTTGTTTGAACAGGTGGAGATTTTCTAACGTTGAAAATTCACTTCGATCAGATATTCAGATATTTTTTTACGGAATTTAAAAACGATGCAAGGATTTTTAATGTATCTAATTAGTATATTTTTATACCTACCTTTTCATACCTTTTTCCACATACCAGATGATAGCGTAGCAGTGACTTACCAATTTAACAAAATATCATTTCTATGCATATATAGATATCAATGGATTTCTTTATCATGTTCCTGAATTGAATATGGAGAAAGGAGAGCTTGTGAGGTGGCATTTGTTTGCAGAGGGAGAAGAAGACATTCATGCGGCTCATTTCCACGCTAACGCGTTTGTACATCAGTGAGTTTACTTTTGTATTCATTGCATGTTCTATTTTAATCCGTATGATTGTGTTAGTTTAATAAAATATCACGTCTTTGAATAGCGGAAACAAAACATTTTGGTATACACGTGTTTTTTAACATTCGATATGGCCTATGTTCCTTATCATTAGATCCAGCTCCGAAAACAAAGGAGATGTGTTTGATTTGTATACAGGACGGTATGCTACACTCTTAATGAGACCAGATGCTGTTGGTGAATGGCTTCTACATTGCCATGTTAATGATCACGTAGATATTGGAATGGTTACAACATACACTGTTCAAGATCAGACAGGTAATTAGCAATACGATTTAGTATCTTTGCTTAAAGAAACTGGTTAATTACAATGCTTCATTCATCATTATGTGAAACTACACAACTTCCAATTTGTAGCCGTTGTATAAACTTTTGTGGTCTTTGTTTAAAACGACCATGAACAAACCCCCCTCTATCTATAGTATACAATGCAATTGTTGAATACGGAATTGACCCATGGATCGTTTGGTAAATTCTTGTTGTTGTTATCCTTGACGTCACACATTAACAAATCCGTATTAGATAACAATAAACATTCTGGAAATAAAAGGCTGAAAGGAAATGACCTTTGTTTAGTGAATACAGATTTCGCCAGTATTGTCTAAACCGAATAGGTCGGTTGAGATGAATTCAAAGTACCATAATATTCGAAAAACTGAATGCCAGAATTGCGTAAAATGGCTGCTGATTTTCGGTACCTTAGTTTTATCATTCAAATTTCATCATATGTGAAACGAACACATTTATATATGTATGTATACACAGTTATTAACTGTAATTTAAAGAAGAAAAGACCATGGTAAACGATATATTTATAGTGTTTGTTACATGCCAGTTTTACTAAATGGTTGTTATAAATTGTATATGCTCTTGAGTCGCCATTTTGATGCTTTTTTCCAAATAAGTCCAAATGAAAATTCACAAAGCATATTTTAATACGTGTTGTCTTCGTGATCTCTCACATTTGGTTGTATTGCAGTGGCGTGCGGAATACCGCTAGACAGCTTGTAGTCTGGGAAGCTGTTAATTAAAATCAAACGTGAATTTCGTATTTGTAAAAGTAACGAACAAATAAACTGAGAATTAGGAAATTTATATCTTATCGTTCAGGACATTTGTTCCTAATTCATAATTCCATTTAAGAACTGATAATCTGATATCAGGTGAAACGTGAATATAATTACTGTTATATGTTTGTTGTTCATTTCTGGGATAACTGCAGAATATTTGCCAAAAGAAGAATTCGGGCTTTTGAAATTCTTCGCCCGGTTTGACAAAGAGGTTTGTTAGATTATATCATTTATTTATTGTTATTTTTAATGTACTGTTTTATGAACATTTTTTTTTATGTTTTTATAAAGATATCTAAGAGCGAAGCAAACAAGTTTGATTTTCCAAAACAAGAGGGATTTGTGTCCAAAAAATATCCGAAATGTGCTCGAATAAAGTAAGATGTCTGAATCATTTCATTAATGTATTTAATTTCCAAAATATCCTAAGAGTTAATATTTTTTGACTGAAAATGACGCAATCTGGAAACATTTGTTGATATTATTTCAAAATTGACGTACTTCATACAGGATCAAACTTTCAGAAATTATTTGATATATATGATTTTTGTATATTTATTCCGGGAGAAGTTGCTACCGCGGCTAATATAATCTGCGAATTGCGGTCTCTCGACAAGCTGCGTCGGCCTAATTCAGGAACAATGCTTTTAGTACTTCATCTTTAATTCTTGTTGTTAGGATTTCAATTTGCTAATAATTATTTAGATATACTACCGGTCTAAACGGAATTTGTTCGGCACACGGTGATGAAAAATACTCAACTTGTAGAGATCGGACATGTACTCACATATCTTACTACGGTTCATCAAAAAGGAATATACAAGTCAAATTGTTCAAACCCTTCATATACTACGGTGTTGAGTGCAAGTAAGTCCAAGTTGTATAGAAAAGTGGTGCAACAATTGTTTTTTTTTTGTCTTTCTGTGGGCTATTAAAAATTGACTTTTTTTACAGGAAGCCAAAGAAAGCGTGCGACGATGACAAAAGTAACGATGGAAGAGATAATAACTTGTATTCAGTCCCGTATAGATCATATTATTTAGAAGATGACTCCTGCGAATGTCAGACTATCTGGTGCTCTGGTGAAATTGAGACAATTTACCAAGAAAGTGACAAATTGTTCAAAGGAAACGTCACAGTGAAGGTTTGTGTTCTTTTATGTTGACTTTTATAAAAGTCACACAATATATTAAATCAAAATTATATTTAGTATATCTATCCATTCAATACAAATTTGTAAATATACATTCGATACAAACATATGGAAGTGGCGGAAATTTATTCTTGATAATTCTACATTATTGTGTGAAAACTGTAAAAACCACCGCAATTTGCGGAAAATATGTATGATTTTGTTTGGAACTAGAATAAAAGAGGGATGTAAAAAATGCTTGGTTTTATATCATGTATTTTTTTTATCTCAGAATCCATGCAAATGTGAATGTAGAAGGAGGTTCACGATGACCTGACCTTATGCCGGACGAAAATAATTTTTCTCTCTTTCACACAAATATGTATTCCATTGCATTGAAGATGGTTAGTAAATGTGTCTGAGAAATAAATGTTTGCAAATACAGTATTTCTATTCTGTGTTCCAAAGGATTTAATGAGAAAAGTGTTTGGAAGGTTTGACAATCTCCTCAATTGTGAGAAGAATTCAAAGTACCTTTTAATTTTCCATATCTTGGGTACCTCGATTTTTTCTTTTAATAGGATGAACATATATAAATCCATAATCATGAGTAGTTTTGAATTGGAGAAAAGAACATTGTTTGAATATTGCGGTACTTCTAATACGTCAATGTAAGAAATTATATGATAAAAGGCCTCAGGACTTAATAAATGCAATCCCTTTAATTAAGCAAATTTCAATAAACGATTCCTTTTTCAGTCAGCGCTTTTGATTTGATAAATTGCCGCAGGATTGAATATTAGTACCACAGGCGTATTGCGATGTGAAAATACACTTGTGTTCCAATCAACACTTATTACATTTTTTCTTTGAAATTCTATCTACTGACATATCTTTTCCAAGAAAAACCTAAAAAAAAACTCATATATCACGGCAGTGTTTTTTTTTATGAAAAATGAAATGGTTCTTCTTCAACCAAATTTCGATTTATTCCTTTCTCAGTCAGCACTTTTGATTTGATGAATTACCGCAGGATGTAATATTAGTATCATGAGCTTAACGAGATGAGAATACTTGTTTATCAATCAACACTACATTTTTCTGTGAAATTCTATATATTGACGTAAATCTCTCGCAAAAAAAAACCTCTGACGCCAGTGGTTACTCACCATAAACATTCTATCCGTGATGTCAATATTTACATATCAATTATAGTTTTATAATCTCATAAACAAATTGTAACTCTAAGTTCTGGTATTGTTATTCCAATGGAATGTTTTAATATTTTTAATTAAGTACTGAAAATTTGAAATCAATAGTTGCAATAAGAAACGATATTCCGACAACAAACTAACTAAAGCTTATCGCTGTTGGAATCCTCATATTTTGCAAGACTGGTCTGCAGCCAGCAGAATAAAAAGATCGTGCAAAATGAGACATATATTAAAACAAACCTGGGTGTTTTCAGCAATCGATGATAGATCAGAAATCTACAAACAAAATCTGTGAGTAAAAGTTCTGTCCACGGAATGTTTAATGTACGTAGTAACTATGAGACTTCGGAAAAATGTGACATTAAAAGTGGTTGATCTATCCCATTCTTGTATGAAGCTCTCCAGATACGAGGAACATCTTCTGCAGTAGTGACTGAACTCCTATTGTGGATTGCACGTACAACCACCTTGCCTATTTTATGCAACGAATTCCAATACAATACTGACTTGTAATACCTTGTCATCATGGAATTTTTTATCGGTCAATGGTACAGAGCACGTTAAACTGCATGATCAGCATAAGTCATTTTCCTCTTACCGATTTTAAAAGACTGAAATTGGGGAGCGACGTTACAACAGTTGAAAAGCTGGATAGATATAGTCTTGTACAAGAGCTTTTTCACTTGTAATTACTGGACGTTCCCAGTTAGTTTTGAGGAATTTAGAAGTTATGTAAAGCTGTGCGATTTTTGCTGCCTGAACATATTTGCAATGCACTCATTATATTCAAATATATTTGAATACAGCAAAACAACAACATTGAACGCTCGAAATTAAGATAATCGATGAAACCCTAGTAACTTCGATATGCGATAATTGGTTTCCTAACTCCATTTATTTGCGAAATTCAAATTTTCAATTTATTTTCTAAAGATCCAATCTCATTGAGTAAAAAATCGTTGAAAGCGTCATTGAAATGTCAATTGGATGGTACCAACATTTTTGGTTTTTATTAATTATATCAAAAGTTATGACAAAAAAACGGTAAAAAAAAAACACAATTTTCTCGAAAGCTATTTGATGAATTTTATTGATAATGTTATTTATAGCTTTATTTTGTTGTAATCTATCTAAATATACTAAATTTTTAATCTAACTGTAATAGGGAAATTTTCCATTTTGAGGTCAAAGGTCAAATGGGTTTTCGAAACCACTCTGTTAGAATATAAATACAAACTTTTCGCATCGACTGATGCAAAAAATTTCAAATTTGACTGAAAATTCGCTGATCCGTATGTTTTCGGAGTATAAATCACGACTTCGTAAATTATAGCAATATGTCATATCTCAGATAATCCAATCTATAAAATAATAAAAGTTTTGTCATCTCTTGTCTGGAATCCATATATATACAGTATATACCCAAATATTTTTTCTACTTCTGTGTGAGGGCATTGAGAATGAAGATATAGGCAATTAGAATCAGTGGCGGATCTAGATCTAGTTGTGCAGCTAGCGATCAATAAAATCAACTGTGACGCCAAAATAACAACATATTATGCTGTAAAGAGGGCCAGGCGTCAGACACACCCTAAAACATGCTGAAACTACTGTCCTCGGCTCTTTCAGGGTACAAAGTGTAACCGGTGTTAAATTTACCTTACCGGCAAAGCATTTAGCGGTAGCAATGAACGTTTTTAATGAAGGGCAGTGATTAATAGGCAATGACTATAAATATTCCTTGCGGTGTCGACCATATCCATTGGTGTTTCTCATTTCCTCAAATACGCTAAAAAAAAGTAGTCCTTCGGAATTGGGCGACGACGATTGGGCAGCAACTCGACTATATTTTAAACGAACTTTATTACTTGCGTGAAATTTTGTCGTACCATTTTTTATTGAATACCGCTGTTAGTAGCTCACTATATGCTACAGAAAACGAGTAGCCCAATTGCAGCAAAAATAGCATGTAAACAACAATGCAGCAGATAGATGTATATATATAAATAAAATATATATAAATATATACATAAAAATACCAAATATATTGAGTTTTACATTGTCCATTGTAATTTACATAGACCCACTTCAATCTTCGTACGCAAATAGACACTTTTACAATGTTGATTCGACTCCATCGTCAACCTTGTTATGTTATGTATTTTAACGCAGGCTACATCATCAGATACAACATCACCATTATTCATTGAATGATAAAATGTTTTACTTGGAATGTATTGGAATTCCACGTTTATATATATCAGTAATTTCCTGTGGTACGCTTAGGTATTCAAGGTGGTACGCGAGTACATTCTTTTGTTTTTGGTCGACCAAAGGATGTTTTTAGAAGCTGTGTTGTCGTGGTGCAGAACGTCTATTTGCTCACATCACATGTGAGAATTACAGAATTTATAGGTAAGATGTGAACACATATTTACTTTTGGCGCTAGGGTGCTCCCGTCGAGGTGGTTATCATTCCTAAACCGATTTATCAAAATGCTAAATTTTGTTAAAACTTCAGCTCAAAATCTTCAGTTCTTCAAGCTGATTTGTGAACAGCAAAGACGGAACAGAAAGATTGTTCTTCAGGCTTAGCATGGTAACCTCGTACTCCACGCTGACTTTTCACGTCACTCCCTAGCTCAGTGGTTCTTAATTAACGTATGGGTCGCTATACCCAAACATGGGCCGCCGAAGGTCTAAAAATGGGTCGCGCCAAAGTCGTCAATGCAAGGGCGATCCAAGGGTGGCCAACTATTTGAGCTAGTCTAATGTCTCAATTCATTCTCTTAACTGTGGTATTTGAAAACAATAAAATATAGAAAAAGAACTGTCTTTGGACCATTGTTACATCATAATTTATATGTCAGTCACGTGCCTTGTTTTATGGGTGTCAACAGGGCTGCCACTTTAGATGTTTTATAGCTAGATCCAGATATTTTGATCAAGATCTAGATGTAAAATTTTGAGTACAGATGTTAGCTGTAAAATCTAGATATGTTTTTTCAATGTTCTAAATAATATCCAGTGGGAAATAAAGAAGCGAGGTATATAATTGTTAAACGAACAGTATTTACAAGAAGATGTATGGTTGATAAAACTTAAATCATATGCCTGATATGAAATCCAAGGGATTTTTATCACATAGCTGAAGAGAGCAGTATAACTGTATAAACTATAAAGTATATGCCACCAAAGTATTTTTGGCGCTCACGAAGTATGTGCACAAAGATGGCGCACAACCTGAACCCTAACCTGGTACAACTATCATTTTCAGGTTGTGTGCCATCTTGGTGCACATACCTCTGAAGATCCGTTTTTTTTATCTTCAGTATTTTACATAAACAGCTGAACCTGAGACTACTTGCAAATTTGACTGTTTTAAAAATGTGTCTTTGTTTTCTGTCAGCAACATAAGACATAGCTATTCTAAAGAACATTACCGGCAGGGCAGAAAGTCATCTACAAAACTTCAATCTTGTAAAGTCAGAAAGTGAAACAATAATACGGCAACAGAAATGTAAGCCAGCAATGTTACTACGTCATTCAAATGCTGCTGCTGCTGCTGCTGCTGCAGTGAAATCAAACAAACTAAGAAACAGCAGGAAGATAGATTCACTGAATGAAATACTAGTTATCAATAAATTTAATCCAAATACAAATAAACAATATTGCACGTCATATAAGGAACCTGTTTCGATTTGAAAAAAATATGCACAGTAGAAACATATAAAAATCCCTCTGAAGCAAGTATAGCAACAACATCAACTTCAAATGATCTTCGAAATCTACTATGATGTAATATAATGAACTATTTGTACTATCTTGTTTCGTTTATTTTTATTGACTTTAGTAACTTCATATATATCTATTTTTTGGATGTTTTGTTTTCAAATCTAAATATTTTTAGATGTTCTTTTGAGGTCAACACAGATGTTTTTATTCAGACAAAAGGGTGGGTGTCAGTAACCATGCACGTGGCTTGTTGCTGTGTTGACCGCGCAATTAACAATTTAAATATGCATATATGTTGTATATATATGCATATATGTTCAATAAACTCAGCAATGACGCATGATGTTGTAAATGAAAATGGTGGAATAAACGCAAATGATGTGCTAGAACGTGAGCAAGTGTTGATTCGGTATCCATGCCGGATAGCGATTGTCAAAACAGCGACTGTCATAATGGCGACTTCACAATAGCGACGGAATCAAGTGAGCGACCGTCAGAACGGCCACTGTCATAATGACGACCACAATTAACAGCGACTTAACTTTTTGTACAGTAATGACAAAACTGCGTGTTGTTGCATTCTGCATTATTTTCAATCAAGTATTTGAAATTTAAGATTTCTGCAGTCACGACAAAAGATATGCATTATCGTTTATTTGAATTTTAATTCACAAATTTGTCATAACAATACGACTGAAATAGTCATGAGTTTTTTACATTGTGAGTTTTTTCAATATTTTATACAAACGAAAAAACAAAACAAAAAAGCATCAAATTATACATCAATCCTCCTCGAAGCTTTTCTTTGTTATGTTTTACCTAAAAAAAAATTTCATCAAGACATGTATGTCTGATTTAATAAGATGTGCTTCTTGCGTAAGACGGTTTTTCCATTTTCAAGAATGAACGTGACAATAAAAACAAACATTCTTTCCTGCATATGTCAGATGGATCAATATAGCGGTGCAATATTACATCAAATGCTACAATGCATCAAATGGGAATTCAAGAGCGCTTTTGCCTGGACATAAAACACCGCCTGTCTTCCTCCAAAATTCACTTTGAGTTGCCTAACTTAGGATAGTTTTCATTTGTTCATTAAAAATATGTAGAATTCATATAGAATTAGCTGCGACGGAAAAATAATTTCTGCTACTTTGTACATTCATCGTTGGTACAACAGTTAGGTTACCAAATAGTTCGTAGGTATTACAGGTGGTTAGCAGAAGTGATTGTTATGAAAGAGACAACGCGGTCAGGACTATTCGATCGTTGAATTTATATTTTATAAATTTGTACTGTGACAGAAAGGGAAGTAAATATAAACAAAACTATATATGCTTGTATATACGATATAAGGTTTGCATTAAATTATATAATATATGCAACATGACAATTCTAATTTATTTTCAACTGCTCGTGATTTCTATGCCATTTCTTACCCCCGTGATTTATGGCCACAGGCAAAATTGCCAGTATCCACCCAGAGGAAACTACATACAATGGGAAAAGGTGAGTATTGAATAATCTCACGTTATGATGTTAATTTAAGTTGCTTCAGAAACTTAATTTGAGGAGATCTAATATTGCAGAAGAGTTGCTACGTATACAAATATACGACACACAGTTAATCTTCGTAAAATTGAGTTTCACACACAATCTACGTTTCTATGTTACGAACAAGACACGGCATAACTTATTGAAAATATGAATTTGAGTAACTTCAGAACAAAATTTTAAAAGTTTGTTTTACACATTTGACTTGATTGGAAGAAAATTTAACGTTTGTTCTGTTAATTTTCAGCTCGAAGGCAAAACGTTCTATAAATCTATGAATGGTGGTGATGCAATATCTGCCGATGTAGCTTGTGTGAAACTACATAACTTTACTAAAGTAGAAGATGGTGTCGAGGCGACGTTTGAAAAGTATCTATTCAGGTACATACGTTTCAAATTGATATAGATTATAGATGTCAAGTCATAATAGGTCGCAAGAAAAATGAATTTAACGAAGTTAAAATGGGAAAAACTCTATCAGTATTTCTAGTTGATAATAATATATTTACAGATCACCTGACAAGTCCGATGTTGTACCAATACATGCACGAAAAGTTAGACGTGGTTTTTACATGCTTGATGAGAGCACAGGTTTGTATTGTTTATCGTCTACATCAGTTGTTTTCCACAGGATTTCGGGCCAACCTAGGATTATCTTCCAAATTCAAAAATCTATATTATTATATGTACATTGTTTAACGATAGTAATATACCCATCAGGTTTACCACTAATATTAACCTCGTTACACTTTGAAGATAATTTTGTTATACAAGTGTTATGCTTGCTTTTATATCTATATATATTTATAGTTTATAAACAATTCTTCTGACATACAACCTTCTAAGTTTTGAACAGTGGTTCTTCCAACTTCTGGAATGTTCCATCGGTGTTCCACGCCACCAAGAAGATGAAAAACCACTGGTATACATCATATATTGGAGAAGAGTGGTCTAAACACTGGCACGCGGGACACATGCTACCCGCAGAACAATTTCAGTATATGTGATGAACCATGGAAGCGCCTAACTTCGGACAGTTCCTAACTTCGGACAAAAATTTTAAACGGCCATATCTTGACTAAAGAGCGCCGTATAATGCCAATTTCAATTTTTATAGCTAGCGCTGTTATGTGTTTATCTATTCTCAAATTTGTTTTGTTGCATAATCAATTTTTTGTTAAAAAAAACGGAAATTTTGCCGAAAAATGACTGGCCGCTATTCAACGGGGGAGAATGTCGATCCCACTCAAGCTATCCTCGTCAAAATACCGTCATTCGGTATAGGACGATATTAATGTATATAATTTGTGAGAGTGGTCGCAAGAACTCGTACGAGATTCAAATAAGACCTAAAATTATGAATTATAAACTTCGTCGCAATATTGCGATTTTACACTGCGTCAAAAGTTACGTCGACATCACATAGATCATTTTCGCTCACTTCCGAGACGATGTCACGCTGCTTCGCGGAAAGGAACTTTGACGCACGTCACACTGGCGGTAAATTGACAATCTCCGCTTAGATTAGGACGGCGTTCCAGTGTAATATTTCTGCATTTTGTTCGGTACATGTGTGATTATATGCCAAAATTACATTAATGAAAATGTATGTCCCATTTGGTCATGCATTGTAAGTTAAAATGGCAGTCATATAATAAAGCCTGGGTGAATTTTATTCACTCGAAGTGAAAAATATATTTATACTTCTCAAAAAAATTACGGGCCGATCTCAAAGTTAATTAACAAGATTAAATTGAAGAATAAACTTTACAATTGCGTACGCCATGTTTTTGATATAACTTTATTACTTATAAAGATAACAGCGTAATATCAAAAACGCTATCCGTCGAGAATATTGAAGACTTACAAGTCCTATAAAAGATTTTATTGTAGATTAAAAGGGTTTGCATCAGATTATTTTGCATATAATATGTTATTTCCTGATTAAAATGACTAACGTAAAATGGGGCTTATCTGACGTTACGAAAATAACGAAGAAAAGAAACAAATGTAAACATAGCACGATGGAAGTTTCAAATAATGCATTTTCCGCGTAGGGTCTTCACGCAACGACGTGATTAGGTCACGCACATCGGGAGCCTCTTTCTGCGAACGTCGCAGTTACGCAGTGAAGAAAATGACTGTCCGAAGTTAGGGCAGTTAAGGATAATGGCCAGATGTCCAGAAAAATAGATTATTTCAATAGTAAAAATGTTCCGACGGACCCGAAATTTGCAGGGAATGTAAAGTAAAGAATGTAAGTAATTGCGCTGTTTGGACAATAAACAGCCGAGTTATTGGTGGAAGAAAGCTCATTTTGTCTCAAGTTAAGCGCTTTTACGGAATATAATGACATAATGACATTTGATATACTTAGAAACATATCTTTCATCTTATATTATTTTTGCCTAAATTGTTTTCATAATCCATTTTTTTTCATGTAAGAGTTTCAATTTCCATATATTTATTACAGACTCAGCAATGATGCGTGGTATAGTGAAAACAGATGGCCCGATAAACGAAAAAGCTGTGCGCGAATGTAAGTTAGTGAAAATTTACAATTGCTCTCTTGATCACCATTGGTGTTTACTAGTATATGCGTTGGTTAGTGGAGCCGAAGCGAATTGTGACTAGAGCGATACATTTTCGAATACCTGATTTCACAATCGAATCTCGTAAACTTAGAAAATATTTAAATTATTACAACGACGTAATTGTACGTAACTTTTTCATTGTAATGACCCTTTCAGTCACATTATAACGGCTACAACACTTATTATAAGATTAGTGATGTGTGTGTCCTTACTAATTGGAATATGTGTTTGTACAAGCACTTCATTTTTGTTGGCGCGGTTCTATCCACAGTCCGAAACAATTTTTCGAAAGATCTTTATTGTCGAATGTTGTATAATTGAGTATGAAAAAAGTTGGTAAAATAGCAGTCAAAGGTGAGGTGAAAAGGGTCTTAATTCAGAATTGCAGTTTAAAGTTTGGGCAGCAGTTCGAAATTTTCATCTGAACCGAATTATTTACTATTCGATTCAAAATGTCAAACCCTAATTGTGACCACATATCTTTACTTTTAAACGGTTTCGAAATTCTACATTTTTTCTATGTCCTGCCGTTTGCAATGGAACGAGTTCATGTGAACTGTTTACCTGTGAAACCCTCTATTGCCTTTTAATGTATCCAGATATATGTATGTACCTTTACGTCTTTTGAATGAAATCCAGCATACATACGTAAAATAATTTTGATGATATCAAAGTGTGAGATTAATAAAAGTTTAAGATTTGTGTGAACTGTTGACAAGTTCATTTTCAGATATCGAGGTGATGTCCGCCGATCCGCAATTTTATGTGACTGATTATAAGAATTACTTCATCGTTGTTCGATGCTCTGAAGAAGGTCAGTTTTGTTTCATTATTCTACTGCAGAATCCGGAACTGATTTATCGATATTTCACTGCACAGGCTTTGAACCATAACAATGAATTTGACTAAACATCTCAGTTTTGAGGCGGATTACGACTCTTGCTTTTGGAAGGGCGAACTTTTTAATTTCAATCAGGGCTTCCTAACCTATTTTGTCTCGCTATCGGCATCCATCCCCCTATTTCTCGCGCAAGATTAGTGTTTTATATAACATTTTATATAACTTTGCTATGACTTCGCGTCTCCTCCGGCATACAAGAAATGCTGAAACTCTTCTTATATATTAGGAAAATAAAACAACTTCCCAACTTCTTCAGCACATATTGCCATTCTGTTTTAGGTCGATGGTACGTGAAACCCTTCACTGAAAGCCCAGTACCTACTGCAGAAGATGTTCTTCGTATATGGAGAGCTTTATACAAGAATGGAATAGATCAACCACTTTTCATGTCACACTGCTCTAATGTTCTTTAGGATATTGCTGCCGTCCAAACTTGCTTCTAGAGCAATTTTAAAGCAGACATAATTATATCACTACATAAATAACTATATATATATATGTGGACAGAAATGTATTCAAATCTGCGTTGTGTATAGGAATATACAATATATATAGAACCATATGAATGACTTTGTATTCGAAATAGACATTTGCCCCAATAATCGCAGAAGTTATAAAATAGGAGATATCCGTTATATCTACACCCTTGTCAGCATACCTAAAAATATCTATTGGACTAGGTTGACTTTTAGTCAAATAATATGCAGGTCAATGCTGGTACAAATAGATTATACGGAATCTTAGCCAATTGGCAAAAAGCAATATATATTATTACACTAGTAGTGTTCAAATCAGCCATTCATCTTTGCTATTGAAATGCATTCTTTCATAAGCCTACAAAAACATTTAAGCGCTCTCAAACTGTGTATGGTCTACAGTCTACACCAGGGGTTCTGAAACTACCGACGAAGCCGAATGCAATAAAATAAATTTCAATTGTTCGTATTTTGCCCAGTCTTTGTGATTTTTTAAAAGGTGATATCTTGCTTAAAAATAATTTCAAGTGCGAAAGAACAAATAAAGTTTGACAAATCTCAAGATCGCAAAAATACTACTCTAATTTATTTAAAGTTGGCAGTTCATCACGTATTTTATGTTACTTTAGAATAGTATTCTTTCATTTTAGTAATCCTAATAGTAATCTCGAATCAAACGTGAGAAACGATGAGCATTACATTGATACAATTACATTATAACGACGAGACACGTTAAATGCTCGCGTCGGTCATGGATTTAATATTTTACGCAACAGAAATCTCGTTATCCGTTATTTCAATCGCGAATGTTGCGCGGAAATTTCCAATTCCAATTTTGAACCACCTTCCTCTTAAGAATCCTGGCTGTGTTTCTGCTTATAAATAATGTCATAATTCCGCCTCTTTGCCATATTTTGAGGCTATATTGTTGTCAGATGTTATCAAAGCTGTTATTGTTTCTTTGAACAGTTACAAAATTAGTCAGTATTTTGAAAAGTAATCGAATAGCTCGCGGAGCCCCTGGGTTTCTCCCACGGAGCCCTGGGGCTCCGTACGGAGCACTTTGAGAACCTATGGTCTACACTACACATAAACTGATGAGCGTTTTTGAAACGTCAAACGCGTTTTTCTTGAATGTCACTATCGTGCTGTTTTTTATTATTGATCATATTGCATGTCTTTCGGCTACAGTTGTTTAAACTGATTCAGATGGTGTTCGCAGGGGTAAAAGAAGTGAGGGTTGTGTCAAAAATTAGTTTCGAAATCCATAATTTCGAATACTTCAAAACCATCAGTTATTGCTGAATTGTTTATTTATTACTTATCGATCTTGATCGGTAAGAATGTTGATAGGTATTTGTCTGTATGTCTGTGTGTTAGATGCACACGATATCTCACGAAAGAAAGATTGGATTAGCTGCAGATTTAGCATGTGCGTTCATCATAGCTCGGATCAGAAGCCTATTGATTTTGGATGAATTATGTCGTATAATTAGCGAGATATTAATTAATTAGTGATGAGACAAACGGTGTCACTTTGGAGTAAGACTACTGTTTTGGGGGATCCCCTAACCTTCGATCGATAAGTCTTCGGTTTCCAACCGAATTCTAGTTTATTTATGTTTGTTCGAATCAAAAAATGGGATTGACAATGAGCTAAATATATTCGTCAGGACTATTTGATCATTAAATTCATATTTTTTAAATTTGTATCTTGACAGTAAGGGAAGTAAATATAAACAAAACGATATATATATATATATATATAAGTATATATAATATATACGATATAGGGTTTGCATTCAATTCTATAATAAAAGCAAAATGACGAGTCATATTTATTTTCATTTGCTCATGGTTTCTATGCCATTTCTTACTCCCGTGATTTATGGCCACAGGCAAAATTGCCAGTATCCATCCAGAGGAAATGACATACAATGGGAAAAGGTGAGTATTGCATAAAATCATGCTATGATGTTAATAAAAGTTAAATTTGAGAAGATTGGCGTTTAAAATACTACTATATATATACGATACACAGTCACACAAACAATAGTTTCACACACAATATACGTTTCTATGTTACGAACAAGAAACAGCATAATTTACTAAAAATATGAATCTGAGTAACTTCAGAACAAAATTTTAAAAGTGTGTTTTACACATTTGAGTTGATTGGAAGAAAAGTTAAGAAATTACCTTTTTGTTAATTTTCAGCTCGAAGGCAAAACGTTCTATGAATCTATGAATGATGGCGATGCAATATCTGCCGATGTAGCTTGTATGAAAGTACATAACTTTACTAAAGTAGAAGATGGTGTCGAGGCGACGTTTGAAAAGTATCTATTCAGGTACAGAAGTTTCAAATTGATATAGATTATAGATAGATGCCAAGTCAAAATAGGTCGATAAAAAGAATGAATTTAACGAAGTTAAGAGGCTAAACTTTATCAGTATTTCCAGTTAAAAATAATGTCTTTACAGATCACCTGACAAGCCCGATGTTGTACGACTACACGCACAAAAAGTTAGACGTGGTTTTTACATGCTTGATAAGAACACAGGTTTGTATTGTTGATCGTCTACATCAGTTGTTTTCCCCAGGATTTCGAGCTACCCTAGGGTTTCCACTCAAATCCAAGAGTCTATATTTTTATATGTACATGTTACATATAATAACATACCCATCAGTTTTACAACTAATATTAAACTCGCTACAATTTAAATATTATTACAAGTATTAGGCTTGCTTGTAAATATAAATTAATAATTCTCCTAACATACAGCCATACATTAATCAGGGGTTCTTAGAACCTATTAAAATCTCCATTAGAGTTTCCACACCACCGAAAAGATAAAAAACCACGGGTCTACACCTTTTATTTGGACATAATTCAAGTATATATATGAGTTTCGAAATACTAGGAAACTTATTTTTCACCTTATATTATTTTTGCCTAAATTGTTTTCACAGAAATAATCTCATTACAATCTAATAATTTTAATTTTATATATATTTTCTGTAAAGACTCAGCGATGATGCGTGACATGGAGGAAGAAGATGGCCCAATAAACGAAAAAGCTGTGCGCGAATGTAAGTTGTGAAACTTTACATTTGCTCTAATAAATACCATTGGTGTTTGTTAGTATAGCCTACGCAACTGAGCCAACTCGGGTGAGACATTTTCGAATACCTGGGGGTTTAAAACAAGAATGCGACGATTCGAAAGGTTCGTCTAACTCTAAACCGATTTATTTACTATTCGAGTTCGCCCCTATGCTTACTTTTAAGCGCCTTTAAAATTTCTACATGTTTTCTATTCGCAATGAAATGAGTCGAAGTTAACTTTGAACTTTCTACCTGTGCAACTCTCATACCTTTTCGTCTTTTGAATGGAATGCTGTATGCACGCACAAAATAATGTTGATAATATAAAAATGAAACACCAATGAAAATTGAGTAATTTTATCTACAAGTCTATTTTTAGATGTCGAGGTGATGTCCGCCGATCTGGAATTTCAAGTGACTGATTATGAGAATTACTTCATCGTTGTTCGATGCGCCGAAGAAGGTGAATTTCGTTTTACTACAGAAACAATATCTAATCCCAATCAGCACCAGTGGCGTAGCAAGACTCTCGTGGGCACCCCCGCAAAAATGTTTCGTGGAAATGATCCTCTCGGACATAAGCTAAAACAACGTTTTTTTATTTCGTCGAAAAGCATAACATGTCGTTATTAAAAGGCAATGGTAACATCAAATTTGCCGTTTATCTTGGTTACTTTAATTTTTTTTTATACGTGCTTCCCCTTCTGCCCTTTTCCTGCGTTCCTGTGCGCCACTGGGAGGTTTTGCTTTCGACATCATTCTGACAGCCTTCGTAATTTTGGCGGTGCGATCAAACCCCAAGACGCCGGAAATCGACGACTCCCTGGCATTGCTACGTAACAAGTCGATTTGAGCAGAACTAACACTAACGTTATTAGATGTGCCTTTCTGGTTTTGCGGCTTAAATTTCTAAATTCTAACCGCTTGGGCTCCTTTGCGCTGTGGGCCCTCCCGCGACCGCGGGGGTGGATGCTACGCCACTGCTCAGAACTAATCACACTACTTACAAACAGCTCAGCTATGGGGGCGGAATCTAACTCTTGCTTGTAAAAGAGCGAACTATTTAATTGCAATATTATTTTTAGTCAGTGCTTAGCTTATATTGTCTCGCGGCCGGCACCCAGCCCCCATCTCTGGCGCGAGGTCAGTGTATTTTCACAATTTTGTTACAAATTTTATACTTTTTCGGCAACCATGAAATGCTGAAACCTTCCGTGTGAGGAAAATTAAACAACTTCGTAACTTTCAAAGCATATATTGCTATTCTGTTTTAGGTCGATGGTACGTAAGACCCTTCACTAAAAGGCCAGTCCCTACTGCAGAAGATGTTCTTCGTATCTGGAGAGCTTTGTACAAGAATGGGATAGATCAACCACTTTTTATGTCACACTGCTCTGATGTTCTTTAGCATACTGCTCCCATTCTAAACTTGCTTCTAGAGCAATTTGAACCAGACATAGTTATATTACTACATAGCTAACTGTAGACAGAAATGCATACAAATCTGCGTTGTGTATAAGAATATACTATACGGAACCATAGATTACATTTGCGCAGAAGTTATAAAAAAGGACATATCAGTTATATCTACATTTTATACCATGTCAGTATATATATATATATATATATTTATTTAACTTAGTAGACTCTTAGTCAAGTGAAATGTAGGTCAATGCTGCCTGCTGGTACAAACAGATCACACGGATTACTCAAGGTCCACAAAATATCAAGGATCGATAGTCATTACATATGTTTATGTGGTTCCTGTTTATTGTTATTTAATTTGATGTAATTTGATTTGCAATGAAATGCGAAGAATTTCAAATGAACAATGAAAGAATAAATGAAGAACGCCTTTGAAAATTTCGTCGCGTTCATAAGTAAACAAATTATAAGAGAAAGGCCAGGCAGTCATTCATAATAAAGTAACGAATCAACCAACAAATCAGAAAACAAAACTACTTATGCAAGATACGCCTTGTGTTTTGCTTTGATACTTTTCCTGCATAAGGGACAATCTCTCATTTTCTTTGAGCACCTTTCACAGCAACATACGTGTCCGCATGGCAAGAAGAAAATAGAAATTGGATTTGTCAAACAGACAGCACATACATTTGTTTCTTTACTGCTGCTGCTGCTGCTGCTGCCTAAAGAGCGTAACAGTAAAGATTGAAATTAGCAGATTTGAAAAATAATATAGGTGATCAGGCTGCGATATAAGTACAAGAATTAATTTATGCCTCTTGAATGATTTAATTCTTCATAGTTAAAAACAAAGCAAAACGAGATCACTACCCATTCATATTCACGAAAGAATATGCTTTTTGATCCAATAATAAATAGTGTGAAGTGAGAAATTGTCAATTGACTTTGATTTGTTCTAAACCCCGTGTTTGATACATACTATGCAAGTGTTTTGGAAAAATTAAACCTAAAACTGAATTTAAAGGGCTAAAAAAAAGAGACAACTTCCATTTCTCTCTTTCTAAGATTGAACAACTTCCGAAATGCTCTTCCATAGTACGTTTGCCTTGTACTTGTTTGCAAGAAAATAATCTCTGTATAATTTTGTAACTTGGAAAAATAGACATACCACATGCTTTGTCAGTCTCTTTGGTCGAAGGTAGACTTTTTGCTATTGGCTAAAAATAGGGAATGATGTATATATGTATATATAACACTGTTACTGCGAGTTTCTGTCATTTTCGATGCGCGTAGCACGTTACATAATTATGACAGCCAGAAAGTTATTAGATTGAATGAAATAAAACGATTTGGAGCATTTCTAATTGTTTTCAATAGATTATGAAACCATATGTGTAACCAGATTATAATAAATATTTCTGTCTTGTTGACCATACTATGAAAAATATGATATACTTAAATGAATGAAGATATCTTAAATATTTGTCAAAGATAGAAACCATTTACGATTACTAGAAACAATTTACTGGAAAGTATCAGTTTGTACCTAAATACAATTGTTTACTCCTTTCTTGGAGAACTTACATTAAAGAGTAAAACAAGTTTTAAAACTTACAAGTTCAGTTTCAGTATCTTTATTTCTGCTTGACTCATGAGTGTCGTCATCAAACAAATAGCCAGGAAGAGCTGCATCGAGTGGTACAAATTTGGCATGATATTTTGCGGTGCGAAAAAGTCTTAAATTTTTATAGCAACCGTCCCCAATACCAACTGGATCCTTCAAGTCTAATCCAAGGTATATTTTATTATTTGGTTTGTCCGGAAGTTTACCTGTCATAAATAAAGAAATTAATCTCAATCTCAATATTTGTATTTCAGACTATAGTAGTTCTCGATTTTTTTCGCACAATTGACTCTTCATGAACAACATTTACTGCCATTGTGCAAGTATTTTGATGTAAATATGTAATAAGTTACCATAGATTTGAGACGGAAGCTAATGTTTGCTGAACACATTATCTGCTTAGGCTATTTCAATTATATAAGCCCAAACTGTATATCCTAGTACTATCATTAAGTAATATAAACTGAAATCCACAGAAAAAAACTTCATTATATACTTTAAGAACGCCGCGATTTTCTCGGTTAGGGAACTCCGGTAGGCACTGACTGCGAACAACACGCGGTATATCCATTTTTCTATACGATTGTCAACCACAACGCCTTTTTATCAAAAACATTAGTCATACATCTTACCAATGAATTGTACTATTCCCTCTTCCCTCTCGTTTTCTTGAAATATGTAAACTTTGGAATTTAATGTTATTGGAAGTTGTTGCATTTTTTTTTGTGTCAGAGAATACTTTTCACGATCTAAGAGATAATAAAATAGTATGCAATGCTCGCTAAAACGACATTGTCAAGTAATTCAAATAAAGAAAATATACATAATGCTTCCACAATATATTTCTGTCCTAATTATTCAATCCCAAATGGTACAAGAAAGCAAGTAAACAAATCCTTCGACTACTCATACATCAGGCTCTTTTTATAATCAATATAATTTGCATTCAACGACTGTCATTTATATCGGTAAAATTTTGAATTATCTCAATAAAAGTAAATGCTCAATTAAATAGCGTTTAGCCTAGCACTAAACTAGTATACAGTAACATTCTGTAGGCAATAATTGAGCCGCGGCATATCATCCGTCGTAGTTGTCAAATATATATATATATTAAAGTACTGTACATTAAATGTTAACGATTTACCTCGCCATCCAGTCGATGGCATGTAATGCTCTATACGCAGCTCTTCCAGACTGTTTTGTTCATATACGGTCATTGCAGAAATACATTGGTGATGTGTGGTTATTCTCTGACTGTTTCTCATATTAATATCAGTACCAATACATTCTCTAAATTTTGGTCCATAATGTGTAATCGTTATCGGTCCTTTGCGACCTGTTACATAGTCTTCAAAGCGAATTTCTTCCATGCTTTTGTTTTGATAGTATGGAATTGCGGAAATACATTGATGTTTTGTTCTCTGTTTTGTGTCGTCATCAGTGCCGTCAGGTGGCGCAAAAGGTATCCTGTAAAACCCACCAGTCGCTCGAAAGAACACTTTTTCATCTGTTTTGCAAATAATATATTATTGCACACGTCAGTGGACATAACGATCGTTTTGCATTTTATGCTGGCACTCTTCTTCTTCTTGTTTTTTGACACGTTTTTAAAAAGTCGCATTTCTCTTTGATTACTGAACCAATCTTTTTAAAATTTTCAGTGCTTAAAGATTAAATTTGTCGCTAGAAGGCTATTACTTTTATTTATTTCAAATATCCCGGTGAGCTGAATGGGATTCGTTTTTTTGTGTGTGCTATGACGTCATCCTAATTTTCCACTAGTTGGCGCTACGTGTCCATATATTTGAACGTAGCTCTCTTGTTAGATTATGTTATTATTTTTTGTTTTAAGTGTGATATCGAAATCCTAACTATTGCATGATTTCCAGATTTGTAAAATTCAACCAAATTTGCATCATAGATCTTAGCATAGAAAAGAAATCTTTAGCGCTAGGCTGATTTGAAAACAAATCCATATCTTTTTAAAAATGCAGAATTTAACGTATTACTCCAATTATTAGCTAAGCAATAGCTTTAGGGCGAAATTGATGACATAGAGTTTGTGCACGAACGATTTCCCAATTGCTCGGGTAGTCACCTAGCTATATAGCATAACAGTCGAGTATCGAACTGCCTTAAATGTACCACAAAGTTCAGTTACATTTAATTTATACGAAAGAATTCACCAGAAATATTCTGCTTTTTATTTTTGCCAAAGCTTTGATCCCATAACTGGGGAGATGCAACATTCATAGATTCAACAACATCCGCCTTCACTGAAATAAAGAAAGTTTTTAAAGAAAGAGACGATGACAACAACATATAAATGTGGTTTAGGGTAAATTTGAGCGGCCAGTACAAGTGAGTCAAAATGAATGAAAAATATATGAGCTATATATCTCTCTTGATATGTAAAAGTACGGTCACTGCACGCTCTACCAAGAATGAGCTGTCACGAGCAATAAACTCAATGGTAATGGTGCATGTTTGTTCGGGTTATTTAAAAACGGAAACAAAAAATTTCATAACTATTTCCAGAAAAATCATTTAATTTTGAACTTGAACTTCTGTTTGCCTATAACTATACAGAAGTTTTGCAAAATTTTCAACCACTCACTTGGTTTTCTGCTGAAGCGCACTTTCTGCTGCCAGGACATGGAAATGAAAGGGTTTAAACGGTGTGAATACAGAACAATACGTGGGAAGGATTGATAGAGATGACCAGCGATGGTTCCAGCATGACCACCCATACATCAAATCAGACGCTTGCTGTCCTGAGAGAAAAGTCATCAATGACATCCAGTAGGCTCCTTAATTATCGGACTGAAATCTCTCAGGATTTGATATGTAGGGTGTTCGAAAGACAATCCATAAACGATTGGAGAACTCAAGGCTGCAATTGCAGAAATAAAATAGAGAAATACCCAGAGAAGAGTGATTGACAATGTTGCAAAAAGTAGGTAATTCTTTCTTCGATGACGAGAAGAGCATTTGGAACATATTCTAGGAACAACATAAAGTTTGTTCGAAACATCCTGGATTTGGGGTACAAACATACGCAAACAGAAGTTCAAGTGTAGACAAAATTGAATAATTCGCTCCATTTTCGTAAAAGTAATTGAGAAATTGATGGTTCCGTTTTTTGGGGACCACGCTGTATAATACTGTTTTTTAATATAAATCAGTTATGCTGCTTAAGTCACTGTATTCGATGGTTTGACCTTATATAATACAAATTATAAACCGACATTAAACAATGTCAGACACAACATGATATAACAACAGGCCAGGTCTTTTCCGCTTGCCAATTTGCGTATTACATGTATATGTAGACTTATTATTCGATGACCCAAAAAATGAAAATGAACCAGATAAGTCGCAACATGGAGAGGGTCCTATCTGGCGTTAGTCAGTTCAATCAGAGGCCCAGCTCTCACGTGTTGCTCTTAACAAAAAGGAAAATTATAACATAAGGGTGGTGTACTTACAGTACCGCTTCAAAGCACCATAGAACCCGATAATAGAACAAAGCCATTCTTTCATGCAGTACAACGAAACGTGAATTGCATGGTGAAAAAGGCATATGCCGTATGCGCTAGTATTATTATGTAACAATACGGATTTGAAAAATTCATAATACGTATTCTACGTTAAGCGAGAAATTTCCAATACCGAACTCACATCAAACTAATTTGAACCAAAACATAGGAGTAGGCTAAATAACATAAAATATCACGTTTCTTGTGAGTTCCCGTATTGATGTCAGCGCCCCTCAATCGCCCAGTTTCACAGCCAGCGCCCCCCAGTTGCCCAAATCGCCATCAGCGCACCCCAAGTTATCACAAACGCCCACAAGGGGGCATTTTTGCCCACTTTGGGAACCGCTGCTGTAGAGTAATGACTAATATATATGTATATGTAGAAGAATGACTGGAACAACTGTTACATATATTCTAAATGGTAATAGTCCATTCTCGAACACAGTGGTCGGCAACCACCGGGCCGCGGCTCATCGCCGGTCCGCGGAAAGGTTACTGCCAGTCCGCAGAGACGTGGCACAAAAACGGACAATGCCGTAATAAAACCTCTACAATCTAACCACAAACCCTACAACTAAAAAACAGCACCCAACAGTACACCAGACAAACACATTACCAGGGGTCGGAAAAAAATGCGGCCCGCGAACTAATTTGTTGCGGCCCTTGAACGATCCGACATTTAATGAATAAAACAAAAATTAATCCCAAATTTATTATTGTCTCTACACGGATTTATGTGGTGACAAGTGCTGCTGTACGGAGCTTCTTATGTAACAAGTAGCGTCAGTTGTATGTCGTTCGAATTTTGATTTTTAAAATTTGAAAATGTCTGGAAAACGGAGCGACGCGGTTCGAGCATTCCATAGTGCTTGAACGGAAAATTTTTTTTCTTTTTTGCGCATTCCAAAACCGGTTTGCTCGATATGCCTAGTCAGCATCGCAGTTGTTAAGGGTTTCAATGTTAAACTCGTTACGAAACGAGTCGTCGAAAATTCGACCACGAGACCCGGGACTGCGCCACAGCTCATCTGTGCGACATTGCAAAACGTGTAATGTGCACGTTCGGAAGAACTTGAGCCTTGAGCAGCTTTATCTAAAATACATTACACTTAGATTAAATTTCGTACTCGCTTGTCAGATCATCATTTGCACGACGAGTTGCCATAATAACATCATCTTTCACATTGGTAATAAGTACATAAAAACAATGTATTGTTGGATAATAATAAAACGCCACATATACATCTCATTGGGCCAGGCTTTTAACACAGCAATAGAAGGGTAGCAATGCGAATGCGCCATAATTTTAAGTTTAATTATGGTAGCAATTTTTCGAAGGCAGAAATATTGCGGCCCGCGCGCTACCGGAAATGTTTATAATTGGCCCACAAGTACATGAAGTTTGCCGACCACTGCATAACACTATTGAGCAACATGTCTGATTTCATAAACAATTGCCATGTCAGTATGTCGCAATAATGCTGGGTAATTGTTTTCTTTACGCTCGTATAAGAATGTCTCTCATCAGTCCGACTAAGATTTCCCCAACCAAACGATACAGGCATTGTTAACTTTCCCGAAATCTTAATGTGAGGCATGACATTGTGGTTTTCAATATTGATAACTACAAAAACGAAATAGGCTGGAAGTAAGAAACACGTTACGTGTGTCAATGTCGACCATATCTCAAATATGGGAACAGTTAATGGCCATCAAACAAATACAGACATCACATTAAATAGCATCACCGTCGTTTTTATTATATTGTCAACATAAATTTCTCAATGCGTATAATTTATTGCATAGGCTTAGTTCGTTTGCATAAAGGTGGTCTGCCAAAAGTTTGATCAAGCTTTACCGGTCCGTCACTTGAAAAAGGTTGCCGACCACTGCTCTAACATACCCATAATGAGCTAATCAAACGTGCCGTACGTGACATGACCTATGTTGGCTGGTTGGATACCATAACTATTTTGCAATTCTTCGAGAAATTTACATTTTTACATGGATTGCATATCTACTTTACGCCTCAATTGAAATATTAAATGAAACTTAAACTCCATTCAGACTTGGGCTTGTGCTATTGATTTCGATCCTAATCATAAATTTTGAATAAATACAAACGCACATGGCTACGCTACCAATACTATGTGACTCACGTCTCCTCCTTGCTTGTCGAACAGTTCGACTCCTTAAGCGAAAAGAGGTTGACGAAGGCCGAACTAAATCTTCATCAATTCCACTTTGCACTACTTCCACATTTTCACCTATAATAGCATGCTACATTATACTAGTGGCAGATGGGGAAAATAGTTGCTTAGAATTAGAAGCACTTGCGGATACGTCTAGATCAGTGGTCGTCAAACTTTTTGAGACGCGACCCCATTTCAAAAATTATGACGTATGATAAGCTTGTGACGCCTAGGTATGGCAAAGAAAAAAATATTTCAAACCACTAAAATCTAATCACAGTAAAATCTCATTCCCAAAAACTCTATCACACGCTTTAGATTTCGTGTTACAATTTAATTATTGCCGTCACACAATAGCCTTTATTATAAAAAGATATCACTGTAATTCAGAATACCCAAACTTGCTATGTAGTGCTAGTCAGCTCAGTGTAGAATGCACGCAATAGAATAATGAAAAATATAACAAGAATACAACGCCGGACACTCGGCGACCCCGAAATATTCAAAGCGACCAAACTTGGGGTCGCGACCCACACTTTGGTGATCACTGGTCTAGAATTAGATGACCTATGGTTAATCATAAGCAAATGATAGGTTGCAAAAAGCTTTCAGTTACAAATATGTTTCATAAATTCGATCTATAAAAATCGGGTTATCGGTAATACTCGTGGCAGAACATTTTATCCACACTAGATATCAAATAAACATTATAATCACACATAATATCCAACAAAAAACTTGTATCTTTATTGCAATCGTTAGGTATATTGCTTTGACAATGTGTTTTATAATGTGGTATATGTGCGAACAAACAAAAAAAGGGATAATTTTAGCTACCACGAATATGAACATTTATTACCAGGTTTTTCTTTTGTTTTTTTGGGATCAACTTTTGCAACTTCCAATTTTCCAAACAATCCGCTAACGAGGTCGATATCTCTAGAAGAAACGGGTTTTCTAGGAGTTTTCTTCAATAACGAGGATCGCAAATGACCTCGGAGACATTTCTTTTTCTCCAGCAATTTTGGCTCAGCCGTGAAGACAAATATTTCTCGTGATGAGCTGGATCCAGCATTGCCGCCGAAAGAAATATCTATGAATAAGGATAAATCGAAAAATCGCAGTCAAATATTTGACACTATGCAAGATTTCAAGCTTGTGGTTTAAAACCGTAAATAATTGGATGTTTGCCCTGTTAGTCAGTGTTTCGTCGCCATGTAAAGTCTTCATAACAAGGCGGGTGAGTGAAAATGGCGATTCGTGCGGAAAGTGGGTATATATGATATTTATATACATCCATCTCAATATAGTGAAATTGCCCGATGAAAAATGATGGCCGGTCAATACATGAATCTATAAATCTTGAACAGGGTGTAAAAAAGTAGGTACAAGTAATGCGTATAGTGGTAATTCAACTAACACAATGGCCCATAATATGTTTGAGACACTTCCAGAAATCCCCTCATTCGCCAAAACACATTGAAATTTAAGCAGGTCGGGCACAACATTAAATAAGAAGATGAATATTCGTCACTAGATTAAAATTACAAAATAAATTGCACTTTCAAACAGCTTCATTAAAGGTTTCTTTAATAATGATTTGTGGAAGTCATCATAATTTTACACGGAAATAAATAAGTTCAACATAGATAATATTTCATATTGCATAAACAGTCGTAACCATCATAACCTGAATTCACTTTCAAAAACATTTATTGGCAAATTGGTTAAGTGGTATCAAATCAGTGTATTTCCAAGTCCGGCCCTAACAGGAGAGCGGAGATAATTTGAGTTCATTTTGAGCCTTGTTCGGGAAATCCCCATTACTGAAACAATCCGTAACACAAGTTACACAACACGGCACAGAAAATCACAAGACTGGTAACAATATCTATAAAGAATTTGCGCAGCACCAAAAACATATTTAGGACACAGCTTTTATCCGTGAATTTTTTGCAATTTCATGGATTGGGTAACATTAATGGGCATCCAAACAACATGATGTCATTTGTAGACGCCGCAGTAATGTAAAGCGTATGGATTACGCGCAAAATATAGTGTTTCGTGGTGAATAACAGAACGACACAGGGTTTTGTTTCGCAACATGTGTGAATTTAGAGGCACAAGATGCTTCAAGACCCCATAAACATTCTATATAAAACACAAATATTCGCTGAATCTGATTGTTGCAAATCGCAATATTCTAATTTAGTGATCAACTGGTCTAACAAAATATTCCAACCTTTCGGGATTTCTTTTTCCATTCCTGTATGTTGTCAGCACATAACGATCGTTTTGAAGATTTTTCGACCACAAATCTCAAACTCTAACATTTTATTATCACTACATATGAGGCACAGAATAGTCCATTGTGGAACAGTATCATACAGCGTCATATGTTTACCTCCTGTGTTGGCTCGGGGCACTACAGGGCAATAATGAAAATCATTTTGAATCCGTTTGCCTGAAACTGCCGAATATCGATCGAATCGCCTTACACGACGGGCCACTTTCACGTGTACGTTATAGAGTCAAGATCTGAAGTTTGGTTACGGTCGGGCCTGAAATATCAATCATTACTTTCGGGTCGGGTCATGTCGGGCCTGAATTGTCAATCATTGCGTTCGGGACAGGTCGGGCTTCACTATCGCTGATTTTTTTTTCAAATAAATATATGTTTATAAAAAATATATACTAAAACTATGTGTGGATACTAAACTAGGGAATACTTGTTAGAATAGAAAAAAATTGAATAAAACTGAGAAGAAGCTGTAATGAACCTTTCCCAGACCTTTGACCCCCGAAAATATTCTTCCTAAACTTTACCATTGCAAAATTTTCGCAGCTTATTTTAGGAATTTCGGTTTTGCTTTGGGCTCGGGCCTGCAAATTCAATTAATTAGTCGGGCTCGGGTCGGGTCGGGTTTATTACCCACGGGCCCGAGTCGGGTCGGGCTGGAATTTTTGGACCCGATCTTACCTCTAGTACGTTATCATGTTTAAAGGTGTTATTAGGTTCGCAGTGAACTTACGAATCGTTTTGCAAATATTTGTTTCTGTTGCTTTTCGCGTTGTCGTGAAATATACATCTTTCCGGAACTAATGCCGTGCATTGGATTTCGAAATTTCCTTAGGCCTATCTATTGATTGCAATAATCGGAGCTTACTTTTTTAAATTTTCCCTCATTTTCTACGAGCCATTTATTTAACCCCAAATTTTGTTGGTTAAATAAATGGCTCGTAGAAAATGAGGGAAAATCCTTTCCTATCCTTTAATGGGCACACCTTAATATGACATTCGATACAATTTCGTTTATATTTACTTGGAACTTCGATGACATTACGGCGGACAGATGAAACACTGGGTGATTTGTAATGCAATACATGTAATGCCCAAAAGAACCTTAACCTCCTCCTAAAGCCAATATTACCGCGGATTTTCTATGAAATTACGTAAAATTAAAACCCGTTTAATAAATTGAACATTTTTTATGATATCCATCTATATGAATAAATAAAAATTATATATATTTCCAGTTGCACCCATTTTCTCCAGCTGTAAGCGCAAAAATAACAAAATAGTGGGTTATCGAGTATTTTCAGGACGGGAATAAAATAGGAAAACTAAAACTAGTAAGCGTCTGAATCTAAAAACGTTTTATTAATTCAGATTCAAATGCTGATAATTTCATATATCCCAAATATTGTTTTACTGTACACGTATCTTGTACTTTGAAGGCCTTTTTATCCATGCTCAATATAACACAGATGCTTCAAGACTTGCGATTGCGCTAGTATTTCAAGAAGGTCTTTAAGCACTCGATTGCCAAATGTTGACTGGGAATTCTGGTATGTAAAAATATGAATAGGATATGAATTCCGTGCCTACGGGCTCAGCCAGGGCTGCGAACGTGTACGAAGTACAACATTCTTTAATCAAATTTCAATGAATCATTAACCTTTACTTAGGAACAACTGGATAAACTATGAATATATATATATATTTGTCAGTCGCGTCCATAAATCAACCACATTGCTTGCGCAATAATTACGTCACATGTGTACATTATTTAAAATGAATATATATAATTAATACACTGGGTTCAATATCGCTGAAATAAAACAGAAGTTGTAGAGGTAGCTAAAAGTATTTTAGATATTTTTATGAGATTATCTCTCACATAGTTTGAAGCATCTAGTACTGGGTTTAGAATTGTTGTTGTGGTATCGGCTCTGTATGATGTGAACCTTAATTCTTTTATTCGATACTTGAGATTACATGAGCAAAGCGCTCTGGCCCACTTTAAACCCTATATGTTTTATTCTCAATGAAAGCATGATAGAGCCAATATTATTTACTGGACAGTGACTTTATACTGATTTATAGTTTATTCATTTATTTGCTTTTATGATTTCAGGCGACTAACAAACTCTGGCTTTTACCAATACATTCAAAAATGCATATCAGCACACCGCAACCCTGTAAAATATATCGTATTGTGCCTAGAATAATATTTTTGTGAACTCAATATCGACACCATAGAAAACAATTATATCCGCAGCGTAAGTTATCTGACAGGAAAACATTTTTTATCCAGAATAATTTTAACATTTGCATTTTCTACAGAATACTATTAGTTCAAACATTACCAACAAATGAATATCCAAAATGACTACGCTAGTGAACATTTGGAGACAGGTATGTTTATTTTTGTGTTCTAATATAAATTGATTTAATTATATAATATAAAAGAACTCTCACTCAAGTGTTGTCTTATGCAACTCACTGAGTCTCTTACCAAATAAGTTAATACCCTCATCAACATAAATATATATCATTCGAACAGTATTGTGTTTTCTTCTCGTGTAATGAATATTATAGATTTCATGAACTTAAGAATTGCAGTTTTATGCAATTAGTATGAAAACGTGGATAATCACGAGAATTACAGTAATACGGGTTAAATATAATTAGAATATCCATCGCTAGGAATCATGTTTGTCCGAAATTATTTTTTTAAATATCTTCATTCGTAGGCAGTAAAAAGTAATTGTAATGTAACGGGAACTATGTTCAAATATTCAGAGAGCGTCGTGTGGGTCGCGTGCGACGTTGTTTGTACCGACAATTAAAAGCGAAACTTGTTTTGTTTGAATATTTACCTTTGGCAATTCATCATATCACGGTCATAAAAATAGTTTGTAAATTAGTGTTGTAATACTTCGACCTCGTAAGACCAAGGTCTGTGGTGTATTTCCAAGAAATGATTTTTTAGACGATGTTCTATACATCTCCAAACATGGCTCTTTTCATTCATCCAACATAATAATGTTCTACGCTTTTAAATAACTAGTAGGCCACCTTGTCCATACTTAGAGAATGTACGGCATTATATGCATATTGATTCTATGTACTACTAGTAGTAAGTTTGGGTAACGTATTTGTAACATATAGGGGTACCAACATAGTAGCATAGGAGTACCAGAGAACACAAAATAAAATACGTGATATTTCAACATAATCCTTTGGACATAAAAGGATGGAGGAGTCACAAATGGGAGAACTTATAATCCTACTCGACTGTAATATTCAATATGTTCGATGTCCTTCATCCTACAGACTTTGGAAACTGGCTCAAAAAACACCCCCTAGCAAAATAAGAGAGATTGCACTAAATGCAGCAAAGGGTGGATGAATTGAATCTGTTCATAAATATTAAATCGCATTGGCGAAGATGTTGAATTCATCTTACTTAAAACTTACTCAAAATATTGTAAAATTGCAATATTTATTGAAAAGAGTAAACCAGCTGCGGTGTGCGATCTTAATTTTGGTGTCAAATAAGTTTATCATTTTTACAGGTGATCAAAACGAGAATACAAATAATACAAGGTATTGTTCAATTACTTTTATATTTCATTATCAAAAGTTGATTCGGTCGATAGCTTTAACGCCATGAATGTTATTATTTCTTTAAATGTTGTAACCATCACAAAACAAATTAACATTTGCGATATGTACAGTATATCAATAATTCTGGTTGGTTTTCGAACCAGATGAATGCCGTTTCAAACTTTTTCTCCATTTCATTGTTTTTTTCCTATCTATGATGAATGAAAACTTGTTAATAATCCGAAACGAATCGCCATGTTTTATAAAATCGTTAATAAAACTTTGTCAATCCTCAATGGAAATTTAATCTAGAGACAAGAAAGATTGGGACTTCGTTACACCAAGTGGAGTTGAAGAAGAAAAGAAGAGCAAAGGCTATCTGAAATTTTTCAAAAAGGTTTGTTTTGTTTGAAGTCAACTTCAATAGAGGAATCATCTCGATTTACCATATCTCTGGAGAGCAAAAAATAGTAATGTTGAATGTTAATGCTTTTTTTCAATTTCAGACAAAACGATAACTCTAGAAATAATATGTTAATTATCCAAATCTGTTCGAATAATTCAAATCGAGAACAATCCCGCTGTAAGTCTAACAAAAAATACGATTCAAAGTTAACTTTACTATCTGTAGCATCGTCTATACCTTCCATTGTGCTTTGATTTGTAACACACCAATCAAGTGACTGAAATGTATGTTTTTATCACCCATTATATAGATACTTGGCAAATTCAAAAACTGGCATATTGGAACACAACTTGGAGAAACATAATATGAAGTGGTTGTTCCAAGCGACTTCCACTTATCTGCATTTTTATCGCGATCTGTTATCACTTTTTAGAAAATTGTATTAATTAGAATTAATTAAAGTACAAAATTGAAATTTCAGGTTTAAGCTCAGTGTCAAATCTATTTAAAGAAAAAATTCCAAAATATCCATTATGTTGCTTTCAATGTTTTGAATAAGGTTTTTATTTGCAGGTGGCAAAATATGTCAGCACTGTGATTATTTTTGGAATTGTATGGCTGGGGTCAATCGTTACGAAGGTTAGTGCCTTACGAAAATCAGAAAAAATTTGCTTCATATACATTTAATTGAAATTGAACCAGAAATTGAAAAATTAGGCATGTAATCAATCTCCGGGTTTGAGTTTACGCCCCAATTTTATGAATGCTGTGGAGAACCAACTCTATAAAACTACAGTGTGTCCAAAAATAAATGAAATCCATTAATTCGATTACCAATTTTGTGGGTTTCATTTATTTTGGGACACCCTGCTGTATACTGAATTGCTGAGTCAACTGCATGCGTTCATGAGGATTTATTGTTCTAAGGTATCTTTTATCTGAAATGTAATCTGAACGTTTAAAATTGTTTCCATGGCACGTACAGGACCACTCGTAATAAAAATAGTATTTAGATTTCAAAAGAACCTTGTTCTATTTTTAATTCAGTCCACGCTTTTTGTTCTCGGCAACGCCTACACACAAGACTACAGTGATAGCAGATGCCCATACGTGAAAGAAGGTCAAGTTCAACAATATTATTATCCGAAATATATGGTCACGTTAATATTGATGAGTTGTCTATGTCTTCCCGAAGTTCTTACTGGTCTGTATAGCTTGTGGCTATTTATCAAAACAAGTAGTCCCTCGTCACATCAGACAACAAATACTGCATGCAGAGGCGCAAAACAATGGCTGGTAAGAACGATAATAAGGTGGAAATAGGCGAATAAGCGATCATACGGGTGAAAAATATCCAACTCAATTATAAAACAAAAACACATTGTTTAATTATATATAATCAAGAAAGATTGAGACAATGTAATCAGATATTTTACTTTTCATAGCCTTTTGAGGAATTTTGAATTATTATTTGGTTGTCATTAATTTTCGATTAATCAATATTCCTGACATAAAAAAGCTTGATATTAGTCATTCAGCGGGGCGTAACAAAGAGGAACTTACAGGCGTATGTCGAGCAGAACCTATCTGGCCAGTCTTTTCCTAAAGCTTGCCTTTTAAATTGAGAAAAAAAAATTAACTGCGTTTTCGTATAACTCAACTTTGATCGAAATATGAACATTTTGTTAGTTACCCTATGCATTGTATTTTGATTGCAGAAAACAATTCCAGAACTTCTTCATGCCATTGGATTAACCTTCTATGCTTTGAAAGTGATACCAAACGTTGATGTAATTTTAGCATGCCTGTCGTTTCCACTGGTTGCGCTTTTGCCAGCGCTTGTGAACTTCGGAAGCTCTTTCTTCTGCAATACACGCAAATGGGTTCGAATTCTTCTAGGCTCATTTGCCTTTGTGAGTAATAAATTTCTAACTATTCTTCCATCGAGCTAATTAGATGACAAGACGATACCTTCGTTTCAAGAATGCAAGCTGAAAGTTGTGATCTTCACGCGGCTCTAAGGCTAGAGTTTGATAGAATACGTTACGATTTATTTATCTCTAGTGAGAGAAAAGCCGATAATGCGGCTTAATCATACCGTGAGCCACGTCTTCTCGTCCGGTTACCAGCCATATCGGGTATGGGATTAGTTATGAACTTGATGATGAAGGAAGCCGTAACCGACCAGCGGTTACGTGAACCACCCTACGAGGAGTCCAGCAATCCCCGCATGGAATTCGAACCTGCGAACCCACGCAATGTAATCAGAGGTACAGTGGCGAGCGTATTTCTAACGCTTAGCACGACACGCACGAAAGATATAACCCTGATAAGGGAAAACTACGGCCCGTGGTCCAAAACCGCCCGTTGAGCAATTCAACATGACCCGCCTGATGCTGCCACAACCAAACTAAAACCAAATTTTAAAATCTTATTCAAAAAGAGAGGAAGGAAGTCTAAAGGAATTAGTTGATATTGGGGTTAAATTTAGTTTTGGCACGAGTCTTATTGTTTTCCACTTTTGCTTTTTTAACACTGTAAAAATTGTTCATGAATTTAACTATTTACGTCACACTTACATGACCCGCCAGTCTAAGTGAGCAAAATGTTTAGCCCCTCGTCCTGAAACCTTGCCCACCACTGGTAAAGCTCAATGAAGCTGTGACAATTGCTGCTTTCTCCACAAACCACTTCCATGCCTTTGGCGCGTTCATCTGGCGAGTAATTACAGTTTTGTGATGGTATACTCTTCACTATGCACACTATATAAAAAAACATGGGAAAATGTAAAAATTGTTTTCTTATTCTAAAAACATAGATGTTTTTCATACAGATTTTTCTACTGTTTGGATTTGTCGCATTTACTGGATATTGCTTGAAAAATGATCAATCAAATTACATTGATGAGGATTTAAATATAATATACATTATTTTATGTAAGTACTATAATATCGTGATTTAACTTGTGTTAATAGTAAAGGTTATTTAAACTTCATTGAACGGAAATTCCCACTTTTTCTGCCAAATTATACTGATTATGTATCCAATTTACTTTAAGTTTCCAATTTAATTAAAGACGTATTATAATTTGTGAGTCAACCAGACTATTTAATTAATTTCAGCTTTGCTTCTCATTTCATCTCGCTATTGGGAATGTTTCGTGACAGTCAAAGATGAAGATATGGCAGGTGAAAATATAGATGATCAGAATGTAAATGCGAAGAACAGAGAATACAAACCTAATGCGAAGCAAAGATACAAAATAGAGCTTTGTTGCTCGGTTTTGAGACTCTTCACAATAGGTATGTGATATGAATTGCGTGGGATGGTAAAGCTAATACAGAAAAGATAGCTCAAAATTTTGAGGAAAATCAAACATAACGATTGGATGAAAAGAGCACAATAAAGAGTGCGTAACTATTAGATCACGCAATGAAGATATACGCAACAGAAGTAATTGCTATACTCGTACTTTGATTGACAAATAGGCTACTCATAGTACTTACAGGTAACAAACACCCGATGAAGTCCATGAATTAACTGAACTATATTGTCTATCAAAGTTCTTTAAATTTTTCTCAGAAACCTACTTGGCAAGGCCAAATTGTTTTGCGACCCTCTGTAATTAAATAAAAATTGAAAAAGCAGAATGCACGCGATTCAGGAAAATGAGAATGTTAATTGCTGAGTCATACAACATATAATCATTTTGACTGCTCATATTATATGTCTAAAACTGCAACAGATTATAGGTGGCGTGGGAATAGTTACGTCACGCATGATGGCTCGTCTACGTTTGGTTTTGTTCTGTCTGTGAGAAGACGCGTACTTTTTTGTTTCTCTCAATAAACTTTTTCAGTCCACTCAAGCGTGTAACCTTCAACTTCGTCAAGTCAGAATCTGTTTAAAAGATTTTCTTGTCAATAATTGTCAATATTAACCCCTCATTGAGCCCTTTCGCGACCCACCGAGGTAACTGGACTCCCAATCCTCGTCTAGTTAATGTTGTCCAACCATTACACTTTGGGAAATATCACGGACTGTAACCATTTTAACTATTATACTATAATATATGATTTATTATATGTCTTTACAGTTTTGCTCTCCTTCATAATCTATTTCATAATTGATGAAAACAAAGCAATTGTATTTGAGAAAACTGGAAGAAATCCGATTCGATTCAAAGATTATGAAAGAGTAGATAAAAAATGTTCAAGGTATGTCTTGTTACTGTGAGTGAGTGAAAGATAATTTACTTTAAGCATTTGTCCACTTTGTACTTGTTGTTTTCAAATTTGAGTCCCAGAATGTTTTGATATCATTTTTTTTATCTATACCCACCTGATGATCAACGATATGTTATGATTTTATTGCTATTTTTATTACAATATCTTGAGACACCAAAGTATACGGATCAAAATGCGAAGGTACAATATCATATTTTGCTCGTTAAACTATATTGTTTATATTCCATCATTGAGCCATCATTATCAACGATTTCGTAGCCATTTTTGAAAAACATATATACAATAGGTGAATAGGATATATACTTGAAGCTTACCCATCATTTACATATTTAAATATTTAAAGGCTGAAGATTTCAGATTCAATTCCCTAACTTTACTTTTAATTTAAGGATTATCACCTCTCTCTGGGCGACAGGAATCACTCATTGTGCGTCTGCCTTTATGACGTTTTTCTTTGGTACCTTAGCTTGCAAAACGTTGGTACAATTTTGGGGATTTCTTTTGCCATTGACTCTTGTTACACCGTCAATGTTTGTCATGGTAACTTGGATTTCTGAGACGCAGACACTGATGGATAGTTTTGGCCTAAGTGAGTAGTTATATAATTTAACATTTATAGTACGTACGGTACTAAGCTCAATCAATTATGAAACTAAGATTTATAAATCATGCACCAATGTCCCGAAATCTAATCCAATTTGAAATTTAATGTATGTATTTTTGGTAATATTTCTATACATAGTTTTTCCGTAGCGTTCCGGCGTCATCTGTTGCCAGTATATAAAATAAAACAAATGCCTTTTTTTTATATGTATATATAATTATTTTCAGCATTGATCCATCCAGAAATAAATAACTTCATTGGATGGAAAACAACAAGTCATCAAGGCATCCAGTGGGATATTGTAAGCATTTTTCTGAGTGGAACTTTCGGTCTTCTGTTGCTGACGTCGCATTTGCGAAAAGGGGAACGGGACAGACTGGTGAAGTAATAACAATGTTTTTTTTATAATAAAATTTACTATAAATTTAAAATTTCACTATTTTGAGGCAACGAAAAATAGGCAAAATATCTTCATCATAAATCCGAAATATTTCTCGTTATGATTTGTGATAATGACCATCAATTAAAAATATAGTACACCCAATATTATTACGCAATAATCTACAATATAGTAGTTATACCGTAGTATTTCTAATACAATTTCAATCAGCTAAGAAACGACATAGCGATTGAGGTCCGCCGACTTATCGATCTTCCGCATGTTCAAAAAAAAAAAAGGCGACGAAAGTCATGGAATCCCACGGTTTCGAATCCTTCGCTCTGATTCAATAGCGACACCGCGTGTCCCATCACTTATTTATTAATAAATCATTAATTATACGACATAATTCATCCAATCCAATAGGTTTCTAGTCCGAGATATGATGAATCACATGCAAAATTTGGAACAGATTCAACCTCGCTTTCGTGAGATATCGCGAGTGTCTAACAGACAAACAGACACCTATTAACATACTTACCGATCGAGATCGATAAGTAATAGTATTTAGTAAAGAGATTGTTTTATATTTTATAATTACTGATTGCTTACTTTAATTCTTGTTATTCAGTTCTAGTCGTATTTTTGTTCAAAACCTATTATTTCTATAGGACTGAAGTACTTTATGCAAAACCAATCTGCGGTGGGCCGTTCATTACAGAAGCCTTGTTGTTAAACAGAAGGAAACGTGTGTCTCGAAAACCTCGCAAAAATGATGGAGAAAATGGGTATTATTAAATTTTTGAATTGATTTTTCGAAATTGTATTTCAAAGTTTGAATTCCATGAATCATTTCGACTACGTGCTGCCCGTGGCAGATAATCGTTGAAATAAAGAATATATAACTATAAACTTATAACATGGTATATTCATAATGATAATCAAATCAATATTTTCAAACCACCAGTGATGACTATAAGGCAAGAATTTTGTAATGATATTGAAAACACGGACTAATTATGGAACGGTTTAATTATTATGTTATATATAAGCATCAATCATACTCATTTTATTCTTCGTTTTCGTATTTGATATGTACTGGTCATTTAGAAATTTTCAACTTTGCCTGATTTGATATAAATTACTATTGATTTCATAAGTTTTTCATATTGGAAATTAAAAACTTCGAAGGTCTGAAAGTTGAAATAAAACTATATAAAACAATGGAACGCTTTCATTTTACATGTAAACATGTTCGCGTTCTAGATTTGCCGGGGAAATGAACAATACTGTTCCACATTTATTTTTATGCACGACAATGTGGCATGAAAAAAAGAACGAAATGCTACAGCTTTTAAAGAGTGTTATGAGGTGAGAAAATACATTTAGAAGATCATTTTACTGAAAATACAATTACTTTACTGTGCACTATGATTAAAATATCAATAATTAATAGCTCCAACTCCACTTTTTATTTATAGGTTGAATAAAGAACAAAAGGAAATGAAGGAGGGTGATGATCTTTTTCAGTTTGAAGTAAGCTAGATAGTAGTTCGTTTAGATTGACTCACAAAGCTGAAAAAGCTAAATTTGTAGAAAAAGTGTCAAAAAAGACAATGAAAAATGGAAGTATAGTCGAGAATCGAAATTAAGTTTTATTCCTTATTCCTGATGGCTGGTACACGTTTCCCATATTAGCTAAAAAAGTTATCAACAATTGAAATTTTTGAAAAAAATGAAATTTTAGAAAAAGTGTCAAAAATAGACAACGAAAAATAGGAAGTATATACAAGAATTTAAATTAAGTTCATGATTTATAATTTCAAATGGCTGGTACACGTTTCCCATAGAAGCTAGAAAAGTTATCAACAATTAACAAAAACACGTATTTTGTAAATAATTATATCGTACATGATTTATTTTTTGGTTAAACGTTTTAATGTAAAGTTGAACTCCGTGATCAGTAAATATTTCAAACTTACTGAACATCAATTGGATGTTCAGTTGTTATAGCTATGATGTGATTGATGATATCAACGGAGGCCAACAAAATAAGAATTAATATTAGTTATAGTAATTTTAGTAACGAAAAGGTGACAGGTTTACGATCTCGCATGACTCTAAATTGAAAATTATTGTCTCACTATTTTACTATTCAATTATACACATAAGGAATATTCTTGATTTGTCTCTAGATCAAATTTATGAAAACATGCAATTTTTGAATTTCTCAGGTACACATATTTTTTGATGAAGCAATGACAGTGGAAATTATTGAAAAAACAGAGAATACACAGGAAAGTCAAAAATCCTTAAATTCCTACGTCAAAGAACTTCTAAATCAGATTCCATTAGCTGCAAAGTAATTTTTTTTTTCATAATTGGGACATATTTTTCATTTTTCTCGAGGTTTTTCTCATTTCGTAATTGCTGAATGTAGTACACATAACCAATACAAATATACTAGAACAAACGAACTTTGTTGATTCATTCAAATTGTTTACAAACAAAACAAAATATTTCCGAACAGTTCAATCAAAGCAAATTCTGGTGACTGTTTACTAAATGGAGTGTGTTGCACGCCCTATGGAGGAAGATTAACATTCATTCTACCACACGATGATGGGGAAAATGAGGAAAAGGGAAACAAGCTCGTAATTCATCTAAAAGATAAGTTAAAAATAAGGTAAGATGGTAATTGAATGACGGAATATTCCGCAAATTAGCTCTTGCTTCAGACGTACAACCGCAACAAATGGGTAATGTGCAACGGAACTGACGACTATCGTTAACTCCAAAGAATACACAAAAACACAAAAACTTAACACAAGACATTGTACACACCATATCGAATTTGATAATATAGATTTGAATCAATATCAAATAACAAAACGATTATTGGTGCTCAATTGGGTTGTTAATAATTAATAGCCATAGGACTACCTAAATGTCAGCATAATTTCAACTAAATACCAATAATGTCATATTAAAGTGTGGGCCGAATGTTATGTGCACAGAAAATTTAAAATTTATTCATTGGTTTGCGGTGAAAGAAATTTTATCACAACACCAATATCTGCAATAACGAAACTAATGATGTTTTGTAAAAGGATACACAGACCAATTCGCGTTGAATCAGATTTTATAACTAAAATTTTATTTTAGAAATGGGAAACGCTGGTCTCAAGTCATGTATATGTCTTACTTGCTGGGCTATAAGAAAACAGCGATACGTAGTTACGACTCAAAAAACACATATGTTCTTGCACTAGATGGCGATGTGGACTTTAAAATTAAGTCGGTAACGCGTTTATTAGATCGGATGAAAAGAGATAAAAAAGTTGGAGCAGCGTGTGGGCGAATTCATCCAATTGGTAAGTATAGAACACAATAGTTAAATAAAGTACGAAACAATGTCCAACAAAATGCCAGTTTTATTTCTCCTTTTTTTTATTGTTTAACTTAAACTTTCTTTACTGTTTCACGATTTTGTTCTCTTATTTGCTAGTTTGCTTGATCAGTCGTACTTCAATTTTTATGCATCCAAGCGTCATTTTGTTTATCCTTCAAATTTAGGGAGTGGCCCAGTCGTTTGGTTCCAGAAATTTGAATACGCTGTTGGACATTGGTTGCAGAAAACCGCAGAAGATGTACTTGGGTGCGTTCTTTGCAGCCCTGGATGCTTCAGTTTGTTTAGAGCAGAAGCTCTAATGGACGAAAATGTAGCGCACAAATACACTACTGTGGCAGAAGGAGCAAAAGAGAAGATACAACGAGATCAAGGTTTAAATCACTTTTTGTTTTTCATTTCAGAAATTGAAATTCCACTATTAGAAAGGGAGAAAATTCGCAATAATTTTCATCAGTTTATATTCATCTAAGAACGTATGAAATATTTCAGGTGAAGACAGATGGTTGTGCACTTTGCTGTTGAAAGCGAAATACAAAATTGAATACTGTGCTGCATCACACTCATATACCTTCGCCCCAGAAAGTTTCAAAGACTTATACAAACAACGAAGGTGAATACTTATATTTCTTATGTCCCCATATGTACGCAGTTCGCTCGAACAAAACAGTTGGTCACAAATTTTCATACTCCATCGCGACAAGGTATGGCATTCTAAGATGCCATACTTTATTGTCGTATAATCTTCAAAACATTCAGTGTGAATGTTCTATGTTTGATCTATTTTAAAACTTTTCGAAATTATGTATGAATTAATTAATCGATACTTATCTAATATTCTTGCACAAATTCTTGATTCAAATTCAACGTTTGTTTGTTACACAAATTCATTTGCCAGGAAGGCAACAATCAGATTTTTACGTTTTATCAAATATCTTTTTGACTTAGATGTAAGATGTTAGATATTCACCAATATAGAAAAAAAGTTTGTAAAACAGGTTCCAGGCAATGCATTCCAAAAAAAGATACTCATCCACTTTCATGCTAATTTTTCGATTTAAAAAACTGATTAATTCAGTATTTTAATGCATTTTAGATTCCTAGTTTCAGTTTTTTACATCTTTTTCACAGGCGGTGGGGACCATCAACTTTAGCAAACGTTTTTGACATATTACTTGATGCAAAAAAGGCGATGAAGAATGATTACATAAGTTTTGGGTACATTGTGTATCAGGTGAAAATAATTACTTTATAAATATACGCACACTGATCTTTTTACTGCGCCATTACTATATATATTATACCTATAACACATTTATTGTTTTAGGTATATTTCAAAACTAACTAATTATTTGGCTATTAATTGTGATTACTCTATTTTATATATATCAAATTTTAACACAAACCTCAATGACTTTCAGATACTTCTGATGACTGCGTCACTGCTCGGACCATCAACTGTGATTCTTATTATACAAGGAGCGTTCCAATATGTGTTTGGCATGAGTCCGATAGGCGGTTTGATGGCTGCTCTGCTACCGGTTATTGCGTTTGTTGTTATTTGTTATACCGTTGAAAATCGTAACCATCAAATCGTTGTTGCCGAAGTATTGACTCTCGTCTATGCCCTAGTGATGATGGCTGTTTTAGTTGGAGTCATTGGACAAATTGTTGAGAGTAAGTTAATAAGCTCACATTATAATAGAATCCAGTGCTTCTAGAACCTTATAAGCCGCGCCCCTTTTTAGAAGTTATCAAGTCTCGCGCCTTTCCTCAAAAATAACTAGCCAACTCTAAGTTACAAATAACAGATAGTAAGACGAAAATATGGTATATTCTAAAACACGTTGAAAATACGTGGATGAAACTAAAATATCCAAAATAAAAAATGTAAATATTTAAAATAAGGCGAGCAAGATCAAACCTAACAAATATTTTTATTTGGCTTTACGCCCCTCGAGACATTGTCTACGGCCCCACCCACTGAAAACCGCTGAACCCATTGAAAACCGCTGAACTAATCTTTTACAGAAACGGTAGTCTCACTTATCAAAAAACTGCAAGATTCTCTGACCACGAGATCTCTGGATTGCGGTCGCGGAACCGCTACATGGCGCAATTTTTTATTTTGATCATTCTCAATACACAGAACTTTAAAAAAAAACGAACCTCATAAATAAAAGTAATAGCCTTCGAGCGACAATAAGAATCATTAACCACTGAATATGCCACAACAATTGATTCAGTATAGTTAGAAAAACGCTAAGAACTATAAAGTACCAAAAAAATCCATAGGTAGGTCATTCTGTGTCTAATAACTTCAATTAGGTGACGGCATAAGTGTTTTATATGTAAATGAATTTTAAATAAATAAACATTTTTCGAGTAAAATAAATCGAGTTTTTGTTTTAGATATTATGAATCCGACATCCCTTTTTATGTTAGCGATGAGTTCAATATTTATTATTACTGGCATATTGCATCCAATGGAGGTGTCGTGCTTGATTCATGGGATCCTCTATTATATCTGCGTTCCCTCCGCTTTCATTTTTATGGTCGTTTATTGTTATTGTAACATGCACGACGAATCATGGGGAACGAGGGACGATAAACAGACAAATAAGGAGCAGGTGGGTCAAAATTTTTAGTCTGTGAAAATATTATGCTTGCTAAGTGAATGATTGTATTAATATTAATTAATATAATGTAGCTATAGATATCTTTTTCATGGTTTCAACAACTCAAATAATTTAACATATACTATTACAGCTAAATACCTCCAAATTTCTTTCAAATTTAAATTCATCTGTGGAAAAAATGCTCACCAACTTGGTTGGATTCATATTTATAGAAAATCATGAATCTGTGGAACAAATTTACTTATAACATAAACATATATATTGCACATATTTTATAAGTGACCGGATGTGACTTAGCGGCACGACAGCCACATTTATTGTGACCTAATATATATATGGTCTCTATGACCTAGTTTATATATATACTCAGGTGCACGTAATTATACTTTTATAGGATTATCAAATCTAATATAAGTAAAAGTGGGTTAAATTTGATCAATGCTTCTGTGTATAAATGAATATCAACAGAACGCCAAAGATAACCGGGATGCTGACAAAATCCAAGATGAAGACACAGGCTATATGGAGAAAGGAAACTATGGATGCATGATCGGAAATTTATGCAACTGTGCAATTTGCATAAACCCGCGTGGAAAATATAAGCTTGTTACGAACAAGGACACGATCAGTACCCAAAACGATTCAACAGATAGAAATGAAAGTCCAATTGTGAGCCAAAGAGCTTTAAACGCTGAAGAAAAAAGTAGAAAAATTGTTTTATTTCAACAGGCACTCAACACGCATATGGGAATTGGAGGTAATAGTTTTGCAAGTGATACCCATTAATCACATACACTGTCAGCGTTTAGATAGAAGTTTATATTCAATATTTACAAGGTTTCACTATTTTATTTTTTCAGAATCGTCAGAAAAGCCCACTGTCGATATATTTAAATCCTCAGACCGGCAGGAGGTAATATCTTAATTTTTTATATTTTACTATATTTAATAAAAATGCATATTTGGAATAGGTTTATTTACTTCTATATCTCTCTAACTTGATTTTTGATTTGTCATGTTTTATTCCAGATATATTGGAATCTTGATGATCAACAGCCGTTTCACGAACCATTAGCCATGGTGTACGTATTGTTGTTGAAATAACTTATAGATGATTTGTTGTAGTAGTTTCATGCAGTGAATTGATGAACCTTCGAAAGCTGATATTTGAATTTAACTTTCAAACGATGTTGATTTTCTCTAATGTTATCAGATGACCTTGACAAACATTAGAAATAATTTTATAAATATCATTGAGAGTTTTATGATTCAATATGAATCCGACTTCAAAGGTGATATAACGTTTTAAAAAACTTGAAGGACTAAGAGCGTGGATAATCGCAAGATAAATCAAAAAAGCAAATTCCGGTACTCCCGTAGTGCGTGTATCGGATTAAGGTTAGGCCATCATTTTATTCCGATTTTCTTTATTTCAGTTCTATCACGAGTGGTGGGAATGTCTGTGTTAGCCTAGTCAGTGAATATGCCCATAGGTTTCAGTTCCTTTACACAACTTGATGTAAAGTGGGCGAACAAAATTGGTTACCTGCATATTGGCACACACACTTCTGAAGCGCCCTTCCTATTATTCGGAAAATTTCATACACAAATTAAAATATATTATTCCAGAAAATTAAGCAGGAATGAAGAGGAATATTGGGAGAAAATGATTGAAAAGTATTTGAAACCAATTAACAAGAAAAAACCAGAACAGAAAAAGAAGGATGAGAAAATAGGGGAAGAGCTAAAAGAATTACGAGATAAAATGAGTGCTGCATATTTTTTCGTCAACAGTATCTGGATAGTTCTAACATTTTCTCTTACAATGATTATACATGACGTCAATATAACGTTCCATGATAAATACGGGAACGCAATTGTGGTAAGACTTCATAATAAATCATTAAATTAGGTTCTATTACATTTGAACCCACGTACATTTGAACCCATGACAATTGCACCTGTATGCTATTGCACCTATGGAATTTTTTTTGTTTCACGGATAGTTAAACCCATACTAACCCTAACCCATGGGTTTTAGCACCCGCATATAGATTGAACCCGTGGATATACGCATGGGTTCAAATGTACATGGGTTCAAATGTACGGTCACCATTAAATTAGAGTAATGCGCTATGAGTAGGAACTAAATGCATTGATGGATTTTGCAACTGTTGACTTACTGTTGAAGTATGCAGCTTTCGTATGAGTCATTCAAGCAGTAATGATTAAATGATTAAAAATGATTAAAAAATAACAACGCGATTGTTTTCTTTCAAGAGTAGTCAGTAGATCTATCTATTATCGCAAGCACGTAATCTTTTATCAATCAAACTAAAACTAAGTTCGCATTTGAAACAAGTGTATTCTGTATATTATACTTAAGAATTCCGAATATTGGCTATTTTAATTCTGGTGTTTCAAGTGGATTCTACAAACCTTTACCTATCTAGTAAGTAATCCTGAATGTTTTCATTTATTTTTCAGCTCAATCCCCTCGCATTTGTGTTTCTCATATTTTTTGCTTCCATTTTGCTTGTCCAGTTTATAACAATGTTGCTACATCGATGGGATACATTTCTTCATATGTTGTCAGAAACAAAACTTCGAGATAATACAAGTAAAAAACCGAGTACAGATCAGCAGGCTCTTTCGTCTGGTTAGAACAAAGTCGAAGCTCAATGTTGAAACTTTACTTGTCGATAGTCGTAATGATTTCCAATGCATTAATAGATTATGTAAATGCTTTTGATTAAAATATTTTTTCTCTGCAAACAAGCGCATGCAATTAGCCCCGCTCCTGGGTAACGCGTCAGTGACATTTCATTTTTTAGCTTGTTCATTTTTTAGCATATATGCAGCGATAGCCAGCGAATAATAGAAAAAAAACTAGACTGCCTTGCTATCGATATTAATAAAATTTTAGCAGCGAATACCTTCTGATATGTGGAAATTTCAATTTCTTAAAGTATAATGAATTCTTTTTGATATTTACAGAAATTTATAGCACTGTAAAATAATTTCACATGTGACTAGCCATCATTCATTTATCATGGGCAACTTTATTACGCATCACACCACATGTTCGGTAACAATGACTTGTCCAGAATGTGAAGTGCAAAAGCAAGAGCGCGTATCATGCTATGATCCTGAAATCGTATCATGAGTGAATGATATTTTTCTAAATACCTTGATCGAAAAGCGAATAATGATAATTCCTAGTTTGGTATTTATGACAACACAATCATCACATGGCGGACGTGAGTCTTGGCTTTAAATTTCTGGGGTCCAAAATCTTTTTAAGTCTCGTATTCCTCTTACGTCGACTTCTAGCACTCGTGCCACCATCCCCCCCCCCCCCCCCCCCCGTCCCCCCCAAAGGTCATCATTCAAAAAATAAGAGAGCAATGCACGCATTGTCAGCATTCTTGGACATCTCGATTTACTTTGGCAATATCAAAGGCAACGCAATTGACGTTTTATTTTCGTTTTTTAGGAATATTTGAAATTAAATTGTATTCTCTCTGCGTCTAGAGTACGTTTATGGCTGCTATCTCGCAGTCTAGTGAAATTGTCCTCCCATGGTTCGAACGTTATCTGCAGTTCAGATGGCCTGCCAACCAACTAAAAAAGTTGGAATTCGCGGAGCACAGGGATATTTATAGTGTTATTTTGATTGGTAGTGTAGCAGTGGCGGCGCGTCAATAGGGTCAACGGTTGTTTTTTCGGTATAATAAAAAATATTCGAAAAATACCTCAATATCGGTTGCACAGACTGTCTACACTAGCCATATTCTCCCGACATGGTTCATTTTCGCTCGCAAAGCCTTCGCCGAACGTCGACGGGGCGACGCCGATTTTGCCCCGGTTGCTCATTGTATATCGTATTCTCTCTTTTATCTTCCACTCGCCGCGTTTGTCTCGTTTGTTTTCTGTTTCTTTTACTAAATCATCGGGGCCGATCGGGGCTAGCCCCGAAATTATGACGACACAATGCCGACGTTTCTTACAACAACGTGTTGACATATTCACGCATTCCTTCTCGTTCGTTGGTTGCTTGAAGAGTTGATAGTTTCCTCGCCTTCGTTTTTGTCGCTTGTTTCGCTATTTGAATCAGTTAGAGACCTTTAGTCCATTTGCTTTCGATTTTCCACATTCCTTTTGAGCTCCTCACTTCTTTCCGGCTTCGCATTTCTTAGCCTTAGACCTCATAATGAATAAGGTTGATGCACTACTTCGCACTCCGTTTTCGCAGCTGCCGCTGGAACAAAAATTAGAGGTACAACGTCTTGGGCCTTATCAACCAAAAAATTGTTCACTGGAACAATCCCATGACGGAGGAAAGCGTCGGCGTACATTCTGCGCAGAAACTTGGTATAGAAAACACGAATGGTTATGTTACAGCGAGGACAAAAATGCACTTTTTTGTTTTTATTGCCTACTTTTTGCTACCGCCCGTGACTCACGTTGGTGTAAATTTGGTTTTAGAGATCTTTAACATCTTTCCGAGCGTGCCAGGGATCATCAATCTTCTATGGAGCATCTGGACAATGCAGTAGAATACCGAACATTCGGAAATGTTAATATTGCAGCACAGTTGGATGAAGGACGCGCGGTTTCTATTCGTCGGCACAACCAAAACGTTGAGAAAAACCGCCATGTTCTCGGTCGATTGACAGATGTTTTGAAGTTCATTGGTTGTCACGAGCTGTCTCTCCGTGGGCACGATGAACGGGCTGGCTCTTCTAATAGAGGGGTATTTTTGGATATGGTGGAATACACCGCATCCTTAGATACCGTATTGAGAGATCATCTTGATGCCGCAACTGTTTCGAAAGGGACATCTAAGGATATCCAAAATGATTTGCTCGACTCAATGTATAAAATTTATTTACAACATTTGGCTCTGGAAATTGAGAATTGCCAGTTCCTTTCGATTCAGTCTGACGAGACAACTGACATCACGTGCGTTTCCCAACTGGCTGTGATTTTTCGGTTTGTGAAAGATGGTAAACCTACCGAGAGATTTCACAGCTTTGTACCAATCGTTGATCGCACGGCTTGCGGGATATCGGCTGTACTGAAAGAAGTGTTACAGCCTTACAACGCGAAGTCAAAATTGATAGCTCAAACTTATGACGGCGCGGCAGTCATGAGTGGGTCGAAACATGGTGTTCAAGTTTATATAAAAGAAGATTTTCCTTATGTGCATTTTTACATTGTTATGCACACCAATTTAACCTCAATATTAAAAATATGTGTCTTGATACCCCTTTCGTCCGTATATTTTTTGCAAATGTTTCGGGGTTTTCTTCATTTTTTTTCGTTTCGCCGTAGCGCTCTGACCTCCTTCGCCAGTTATGTAGCCGCCATCTCCCAGCTTGTGCACCAACACGTTTGTATTTCCAATCACGCGTAGTGCAGGGCGTGTCCGAAGTTAGGTCTGAGCTCATTGAGTGATTCAATGGCATTCAGAGCTCTCCGGTTTGGGACGAACGCTCTGTGAGGGAGGCGGCAGGTCTAAAGCGTCTGCTAGAAGATGGTGAGTTTTCATTTTTTCTCGCTTTTTTCTCCACAATATTCTATCACGTGGATGTATTATACGGCGCATTGCAGTCAAGGCTAATGGATGGAGCGTCTGTGCAGTCGTGTATTTCAGACTTCTGCTATGCTGTATCTCGTATCCGGGAAACAATAAAATACGACGACACATGGAGTGCTTCTTTACGCCGCTGGCAAACAACGCAGCGTTTGATTTTGTCTGCAAAGGAATGCTGTGACATTCTGGTGAATCAAATAGGCGATCGTCTGCGCACTGAACACCTTGCCGCGTTCTCTTTGATGAACCCCAAATTTTTTTAAAAATTTGCACGTCAATTTCCCATCCATTTGTTGGCTACTGTCTCCAAATTTTACCCCATGATAAACGTGGGTAAATTGGAAAATGAATTGCGATGTATATACACCAATCAAACTTTTTTGAACATCACATCAACTTGCGCGCTCTATGGGTTCCTCATAGATAACACTCTAGTAACTACCTTTGCGGCGTCTGCAAAATTTCTGGACATAATTTTGACGACGCCTATTTCTTCCGCCGACGCAGAGTGAACATTCAGCACGCTGAAGCGTATTAAAACGTATCTCAGAAACACAATGAAGCAAGATAGATTAAATTCCTTGGCTGTTTTATCCATTCACAGAGACGTTATTTCTGGGATGCATGACTTTAATCAGCGCGTTATTGAGCATTTTGCTTCCAAGAAACCGCGGCGTATTGCATATATGTTCAAGCAGTAGAAGTCTAGCAGCATATATATCTATGAGTGAGCGACGTATGTCCTTATCTTTGCATTAACTTTCCTTTCTTCATAGTAACGTTTTAAACCTTATTTTAGGTTTTGTCTGCTTTCCCGAAGTTTCTGTTAATATGTCATTGTATTTATCTGGGTAAATATTGCCTTTCCTTTTGAAAGAGGTTTCAAAATAAACTATGTCTATATTTATTAATCCATTGACTTGGGCCGGTTTTAAAGACACTTTCTTATCGTTAAAAAATGTCGCTTTTGCCGATTGGTTGTTACCGATGGAATGGTTTTTATACTCATAAAATGATGGGAGAACTTACAGCGCTCATCTTGTCCCCGTAGATAGGGGTGACTTGGTCCCGCAATAGCTTGCCCCGGTTGTCAAAATGACCACGCGCCGCCACTGTAGTGTAGTAAATGTGGATTGTAACTATGAATACCATTCGTATGCTAAATTAAATGAAAATAGGTCATTTTAGCTATTTCCCAGATAATGATTTATGACGATAAGCCTTAGCTTTTTTTGTATCGACCAATTGATGACGTGTGTTTCTGGCTTTCGTCAAAGGGTGGAAATATAGGATTTTGGCATTTAATATATTGTGTGCTTATTGACCTCTGGAATAAAGATCGGGTCTACACTCTATTAACGTGTGTCTATTCAATAACACGGGAATGTATAGGCACGCAGATATGGATAATCTCTCCCATAAAGTAGAATTTAAGTTCCAATTATGATCATACAATTCATGCACAAGTAAGTGAAAACACCCTGTAAAATAATTTTATCACGTAATTAAACTGTGGAAAACGGGGAATTTACGAGGAAAGTAGCAAAATTAATTATGCGCCTTGTACTGCCCGGCTTCTGCTGTCCTGTGGCACCGGCTGGGAATCACTAGTGTAATCAGTATAGGTTGGGTACCGGTAACACAAGTGATGTGTAAAAACGGAAATTTTTTTCCGCAAAATTAGAGACTCTACCTCTAATAATCAGAATGAAAATTACCACTTTATAGCAAAAAACAGCATCATCATTCATTGCTACTACAATGAAAATTTAAATATAGTGAGTGACACAAATAAATTACTACTCTAACAGTTTTAAGAGGTTTGTGGCCCCCTGAAATCGTTTCTATGGCCTAGCCTTCGTCTACCTCAGGGGTCTCCAACTCGAAATATGTCGCGGGCCACTTTTTGAAATTTACTGATAATGCGGGCCATAAATTAAGTACAAAAAATTAGGTCAACAAATTAGGTACAAAATAGCTATACAAAAAATAACACAGCAAATCTGAATATATTTGTTGAAATTACATTTGAATCTTACACCAAACGAGACATGAAACATATTCATTTACTTGTGCTGGATATTTGTAACCGTTTTATAGCGGTGAGAGACTGCGTTGTTTGGCCCTATTTACGCTGGTTAGCTAGTTCTATGACAGCATATAAACTCTCGTGCGTTAGTCGTGTGCAAAAGGTTGATTTGTTAACCTTCACTGTTAAAAAAAATGCTGCTGATTACTTCACAAGCCTCCAACATACACTCTTTAACATAGCTTCCTACAACGAAAGGACCCGACGAGTTTGCAATCATCTCACTCATGGCAATGCTTGCTTTCCCCGAAGCTTCACAAGTTTTGTTCATGTGTGAGAAAAAATTTCTCTGTTCCATCAGTGAATATTTTAATTGCGATATCTTTTTGTGACAAATTGTTTCAGTATAGACATGATATTTTTCTCTATGTAATGATCCGTAATGTCGTCGGATGTTGTATTATTTTCGAACAGAAATAATTGGACAGCATGAACCTTGTTTTTATAATTTCACAGAAAACACAGATTCTCCTATTCCACATAAAATATCCTGTGCTCTTCCGAACGTTTACGCTTATTGGCCATTGCGTATGGGTTCACTATTTATAAATAGTTTATAATAATCTAGTTTTGCGTTAACTGCACACACACTTCAATGATCTGACCGAAACTTGTTTATTTCGTCATAATAAAAACGAAATCAAAATTATTGAATTTACAAATCAAATATTACACTAGTAAAAATATGAATACGACAAAACTCATAGTTGACATCATACTATTTTATTATTTTTTTTTCTGGAAAAATCTCAACTTCGAAAAGGGCGGCAAAATTGCGTTGCGGGCCTCATGCGGCGCACGGGCCGCGTGTTTGAGACCCCTGGCCTACAAGATATCCCAAAATTAATGGAACCCGCAAAATTGGTAATTAAATTATTGGGTTCTATTGAGTTTGGGACAGATATGTAAAGTGTTTTCTCATTGTTTAAGCGTGGTGAATATATATAGCAAATAACAAGAAAATTGTCAAAATAAAAAAAGTAACTTGTTCCATTGCAGTAAAAGGTATAAAATGTCCACTTTGGGAAAATGAAAGTAAAATTTTTTTTATAAATAGTTGTGGTATAAAAAATAAATTATGTAAAAATACGCTATAAAAAATCTGAACTTGTGAAAAAGGTTGAATTCGTGAATATGGCGTTTCCTATACTTAAATATTACCCTAGTTGTATGTTTTCATTATCAAATATCATTGGGTTGAACTGGGAGAATCATACTTCATCACATGGCTCTCGATCAAACTTATCACAAGTTTTCCACAATATGCAACCGATGCGGAAATCAGCAACACGCTATTCCATAGAAGGCTGCAGAAAGCCTGGATGGAAATAGGATAAACAATTAAAAAAGGGTAAACTGTTGAAATCAATAACAATAAGTTGAATTAGTTAAATTAATAAATGTGTTATATTTAAAGAAATTGTATTGTATCAATAAATTACATATTCTAATGGAAAGTGATATAAACTTCACCAGTGTTTTTCTTATGGCACTCCCTTTTAGTATGAGCCCAGAAATAATTTGTCAAGCTAGGGTTTTGAGTAGCTGTAAGATCGGGCCCAAAAATTCCAGCCCGACCCGACCCGAGCCCGGGGGTATTAAACCCGCCACGAGTCCGACTAATTGACTGGATTTGCAGGCCCGACCCGCAACATACAAACAAACGTTACAAATCCTTTGAGCTGCTGCCTTAGTCTGCAAATTACGCATTCGTGTCTTGCTCTTTGTTCCTAAGCAATAAGGGAACTTATTGGATCCTCAGACAATAAGTAAAATGACGATTTGAACAGCAGAATATTACTCACGTTGTTTACATTTTGTGGTCTTCGTGCTTCTGTGGTCTGCGCTAAAAACCCGCTCACTTCACCAGGATATTACTTACGTTGTTTACATTCGGTGGTCGTCACGCAGGAACAAGATTGCGTCCACTGCAGGACTGCCATTTTTGCCTGTCTAAACACATCTAGACTGACCTCGAAAATCATCTAGATTTACAAATAAAACGTCTATAAAATACATCTAGATATGAAGTCATTGAATTTAATGAAAATTAACGAGTCAGGAGCATACAAAGTTTATCGCATTACACAATAATATAATATTAGATTTCAAAGAAGCTAACATCATAACCTAGAATTCAATTCCCACCTGCATAACTTACAAAAAGCCTTATTCTTATCATCTGAAGGGACAATCAATTCCTTGAAGGCTGCTTCCTTAAGGCTTAAGCCAATCTTTTCTAAATTTTTGCTGGTAGCGCATACATACACTTTGGCATTTTGATAGGTTGATGTTCAAAGAGAGACAAATTCAATAGCACTTATAGACCTAAATAACTCTATAGATTTAAAATCTTGGAATAGGCAACTTGAAAACCATAAGTTATTCTCACCTTGTGAACAATACAATACTAAGGACCGACTCATCGGACCAACGTGGTTCTTTCTATTTCAGTATTTAACGTTAAATAAAACGTCACGTGTTTTAAACATGTTTAATTCGTTATTTAAATATTTTAATTACATATGGTACCGGTGGACGAATACAATATAAATGAGTTTTATAAATCTTACATCAATACCTGTACCGGTTCTTCCAATTCTAAATAATGAAATATTATTCATTCACCTACCGTATTACATTATTATACACCTCTCTTTACTTTATTTTCCATTGTATAATATTTAGAATTAAAAAAAAACAAAAAAACTAGATTTTATAGCAAACATCCAGGCTCCAAATTTCACATCTAGATCTTGAAAAGTACATCTATATCTAGCTATAAAACATCTAGAGTGGCAGCCCTGTAGACTCTAATGTGCCACGTTTCATTGAAGTTCTCTGCTGCTCTATCGTGCGGACGCAAGTTTCTGCAGCATTTCAATAATCAATTTGAAGGTTTTCCACACCTCACTCTTAACGGTGTGTGTTTTCCTTTTCAGTTCCCCTGTCTTCAGTTTATCCTTCACTTCTTTCTGCTTCATATCGGGGATACTGGGTCAAAATCATGAGGATTTGCGGAAGGAAAGATTATTAAGAGGTAGTGTTCACGACTCGTGCACATAGCATGCTCTGTCCAGCGGCCCATGTCACTGTTTAGTAGTTAAATAGCAATGAACCTTTCCCCGAGCATCGACTTCCTAACATTGACAACATGCAAAAAGTGACGTAACAATGCCATTTTTTCATCCGCTTAGACAATTTTCTCACTCAGACAGATTTCCAAGCGTGGTCGTAAACATTACCTCGTTTTCGCGTTTTTAAACTCTATTCGTTAGTTTTCAGTTGTGTTTCGGAAATTTAAAAATGAATCAGATAATTCAATGATCACTTTGTCTTCCTGGGCGTTTTAATTTAAGTGCAGTAATAAAAAAAAACAATGTAGAAATATCTGTAATAAACCAGGCTAAAATTCGTTACCGGTACTTTTAAAATACAGATTGTTTTTCTCAGGCATCCGAAGTTTTCAATACTTTATTCTACTTTTAGGACACGAAATGTACTTTGAGATCATTTCTAGTTGTTGTCTTTGATGGTATTTTTCATCTTATTTATAAGACAAAATTGCCTTTCTCCTTTACCAATGAACCATTTGCTTTGAAAATTTCAGTTATTGAAGATTGTATTTTTTGCTAGAAGACATGATTTAACATACATGTTATGCTATGATTAGATGGTGAGGTCGGGTATAGTTTCTTTTTTTTAAATGCCATTATTCCTCATTTGAAGCGAAAGTGAAACAAATGCACGTCTAGTAAAATAAATCACCAAGTTTTCCTTTACGATCCGCTGGTGACTAAATTTGTTATGTGCCCATTTAACGCCAGTTAATTCACAAATGAGGCTATTCCATCTTTGATGACTATAATGGGTTTCAAAATTACAGATTATCAGGCCAGAGAAAAACTTTCAATTTTCATATATAATTTATACAGGTACAAGTGGTTGTCATATTGAAATATTTTCCAGCATTCCAGATACTTATACATCTGTGTGGGAAGAAATAAATACTAAATAGTTACGCAAAAAGGTATAACCAGTAATTGAGCAAGCATTTAAAGTATATATCTGGTAGGGAGGGGACGAGTCCGGCATTACAGAGATTAGATGAATCCGAGTAATAGGTCAAGGATTCGAACCAATTCTTCCGAGTCTTGACGTCACGATGGAAAATTAAAAAAAAATTGTTTTTGACAATGCTACAGCAACGTGCGCTCACAAACATACGTAGCTCATATTTTTTGCCTAATTGTTCCGCAGATAGCTATTAAATCATTTCATAAATATATATTTTCTCTCTTTTTTGGCGGCCACAATACAATCATTATCTTGGATCAATATGCGCCTTGGTTGTGAACTGGATTTCCAGCTCATCACCTCCCGTTAATTCTGGGAGGCTATTTAGCAGTTCGTACATGTCAATATGAAAACAAAAAAGCTTTTAACTGCAAGGCTTCCCCACAATTCCAGATACTTCTAGCTGTAAACTTACTATGTCGCGTGCGCAAATGGTAGAGAGATGCCATTTGTCAATACATTGGAGTACATCTGCTTGCAATTTAGTAGTTCATGTAAAAGTTCTGAAATTCTACATGTTTACCATTTCTCCTTTTTTAGGTAAAAGATTGCACGTAATATACTCGATTTAGAAAAGATATTGATGAAATTACCCCTTGGGTTGATCCAGAGCATGTTTCATTTTTAGGCGAATCGAAAACTCAAAAGTATTGCGCTAACACATATTTTATTGTTCACATGTATACCAAAAAGGATAGATAGTTTGAAGGCAACTGGCGCAACATCATTGTTATAAGCGATCAATAGTTTTTATCATGCGTTATTATATCTGGATATCTGTCGTCGTTTTCATTAAGAGTGCATATAATACATACGAAAAATATTGTAACAGATCTAACAACGAATTTTAACCAGTCAGGGAATGTACTGGGATTTGTAGAGGTAAAAGTACTAACATAGGCGCAAATTAGTAAAAACAGAATTGATTATAGACTCGGTAAAAATGACGTGGACTCGAAAACGAATCCGATTCCAAAAAATGCGTGGATTCCACTCGAATCCGAGTCCGGATCCGAATCTCGGTCCATCCCTAATATCTGGTGGTTATGTGTGTTTTGTGATTGGAAAAATATTTATCTTAAATGACCGCTTATCACGTTTTAGCAGCTTGAAATATAATATTTTATCTTTTTTTTTTGTATTTTGTAACAATAGATAATATTTTCCTGCACCGTTAGGATGTTTTCTAGTATGTTTAAATACTTTATAATTGTTAGCTTAGCCTTGCTATCGTTTTTTGCGAATGTTTCGTTGGGAGCCTCTAAAAATCCAGGCAAGTAAATATATCTTAAATTTAATTAAAGTGAATAGGAATTTTACATAAACACAAAATTGTTTATAAGAAAATTAAGTTATCTTGTGCAAATACGGTTGCTATTGCTACAAGATTAAAAAAAATACTTTTAAAAATATGCCATTAAAATTGCTGAACTTTCAAAATTGAGCTAAATAAAAATATATTAAAACCGTTTAAAGAAATATAAACGTCTATTTTCTTTCATGTCTTTTATCTCATTAGTAAATTTTATTTTCTTGAAAATGATTTTATACAGTTTCTATGTAGAAGATAATTTAGGTTGTGTATATGGCTTGTATATATTTATGTAGCTTCATTTTCAGCTTGTTTCGAATCAATGTTTGCATGTTTGGATGAAAAACAGTGCATGTTTCACAAGATGTTATTCTGTGATAGGAATCAGGACTGCAAGCAAGTTTATTTTGCATGTTTTTAGCAATGGAATTTATAAATTTTACCCATACGTACATGTAATAAATCCCCTATTTTCAGTTTGTGTGGATTTTAATTAATACTAGACATAGAAAACTAGTAAACATCCAAGTAAGTGTCCTAACATTTAACGGAGCCAGTTTCATTATACTATTTTGAATTCTAATATAGTTAGCATATGTCAGCCAGCCATAGATTTACGAATATGGCTACGTGTGATTAAAACTTAATAAACTATGCAATGCATAAATGTCGGATTAATGTTCTCACAGTGCTGCATCTGAGCTCTTTTTCTCTACCTATTTACAGTGACGGCAGTGATGAACGTGACAACATTAAACAGCGCATTGGAAATGAAATATTTTGCGATGGCTTGGACAGTGCATCATTTGATAAAAAGTGCTTATTACCCGAATACTATATGTGCGATGGATTGGATCATTGTTTTGAAGGTAATATAATCAAATGTAAGAAGATGTACAAATGATATTTTATATATAAACAGCAGAAGGCTGGCAAGTACATTCTTTTCTTTTTAAAGCTCGTTTCATCAACAGAGTTTTGGTCCAGTCCAGACTATTTGAAGCTTTGACAGAACACAAAGCTTCACAAAATAATATATTTTACCCAATGTCATTATTTTGTTATATTGTTGATGATCTTTTGCTGTTTTATTATTTATTTATTCAAATAATTGACACTGCTAAACTGATTTGCTATATAATATATATATTTTTTTCCAAACATCAGCCATATAAAAAATGTTATAAACAATGACCTTTGAAAGAAAAATTGATATTCAGAATAATAAATAAACTGCAGTAAATAAATGAGGCTCTCAATTTTATCCAACTATAATAGGATATACTTTATTTGACGCAGGAGTGGATGAGTGTTTATGTTCTTCTAACAACTCAAAGCAGGAAAAAAGTAAGATAAAATAAATTAATGTTAATTATGGCATGAATATCGAAGAACACGTGCCAGAACACATGCCCATATATTACATAAACATTGAATTTATGACATAGAGTTCCATACGATTGAGAACATATATATATATACAAGAGAATAATCAAAAATATAAAAGATTGAAGTCATTTTGAAATGAGAGAATGCCTTTGAAATCCTACATATGATAGCCACTAACTGGAGGTTAATCACCTAATTAAATGATTCGTTTTGATTTACA